ATGATAAAATTTTTATTCAAGCAAAGTGAAATTCAAGGTATTCAAATGAACCACCTCATTTAAAAATTTCAGCGAGTATTTAATGTTGGCATTAATAGCAAGAGTTTTGATATCGCTAAAATTAAATATCGCTAACAATTCATTCTGTATCGATGGTTTTAGCTATTTTTTCTGGACATTATGAAATTGCTTAAATTATTTCTCAGGCTTTGGCTCTTTGGGTCAGGTGAGCATAACAGAGTTTTAGAATATACATAAATATGCATGAAATATTCATTATTGACGTTGTATTTTACTAAGAAAAATATGTACATACATGTGAAAATTTTTAGACCCAAATACTGTACAAGAGCCTTGAAAATACTGGAATTTAGGTGCAAATACTGTACATCGCTTAACAAAAAACTGTACAGAATATCAACCAAAAATCAATATAAAAGGTTCAATTTATTACTAAATTTCAAATCAACAAATGAACCACTGCATGTATTGTTAATTACTTATTGCAAGCAACTTTTGCAGCTACAGTGTATTAGAATTTCAGCAATCCCCCATGGTCAATGTTGAATTTTGTACGAAGACTGTCCATAGTGCAGTGTACAATGCGAGAGTGTCTCCATTCAACTGCATTTATTTTCATGAAACTTAAAGCATCTCTCTTATTCTATGATAGAATTATGGCAAAGCAGAGCAAAAAAGTTATAAATTAAATTTCATATTGTTGTCATACAACAGAGTTGCTCTGCTTAGTGTTGTTTTCTCTTTGAAAAGTCTTTCTACTGACAAAATGTTAACAGTGAGAATAAAAGAAAAATGATGGTTTCTGGTAAACAATTTAAAAAAAAAAAAAGGGGACAAATTTTCATTTCCCGTGAATTTTGGTGTACCTCCATGATCCCGTGAATGGGTAAAAAAAATATGTGTCACTGACATTTCATGTACAGCTGGTCTACATTACATGTATGTATATATACTAAAAGCAAAACACTGCATTTATCAATAAAATGCATAATATCCATGGAAAATGAAAATTTGTTAAAATAAAGTCAGATTTAAATTTATGAACCAAATGCCTGATATCCAAGTAACATACCTAAAGTGATATTTATTTTAATTGGTGGACAAAATTGTAAATATATACTGCTGAGCTTTTTAACAAGCAAGTGAAAGATAATGTACTACTTCTATTTTGTATTATTTGATTTTTGAAAATCGAATTTAAACTGTTTGACAAGTACTGTGGTAGCAAAAAGAAAAAAAGAATTGCTTGTTACAGACAGACAGATATAGATAGACTGTCAGATGGATGTTGGACACTTTACCAATGCACAAGGTGGTCTTTGATTAGTAGATTTGTTAAACTAGAACTTAGCTGTAATAATGTAGCCCTCTCCTTTTTTGTTTTATTTATTAATTTTTTTTTTTTTGAGAAAACATCAGATTTAAAATATTTGTGAGGGCTACATTATTGCAGCTAACTAGAACTGACCACTGGTCCACTTGAGAGAGAATCCTTTGTACTGGACAGATGAGTCTGAAGAAAACCTGGCAATCAGAAAGTTGTTAGAACTCAGCAGTATTTCAGAGGGTCTCTGGTTCCCACTCAGTCGGGTCAGACACTTACTGTCGACCAGTCTTAAACCGCCCTCCCACAACTCTAACACATCAAGGTTCTTCTCTGTCTCAAAATCAAGCACCTGCTCAATTAAAGCACAATCATCATAATTTATCATAATGAAATTAACAAAATTTACTCTGGGGTGGGGTGGGGGGGGGGGGGGGTTACCTTTTATTACTGTACACAAGAAAACGGGTTCATGTAAATATAGCCTTCCATGTACCAGTTCCCTTTAAATACAGTTCATTCAGTCTGGTTTCACAAAAAAAAAATGTGCTTACTGATAATTCATAATTTCTGCTACCCTAATTATCAATGCACTTAAATACTCACATTTCTAATACATGTAATTGGAATAAAACTGAAAATATATTTACATAAATATGTAAAATTATGGTTTTGATTTATAGTTCCAGTTAAAGAAATGAATAGGTAGACTAAAATAAGCTAATTTAAATGCATGTTAAAAGATTATTCTAATTCATCTCATTCCACTTAATGTTTTACTTCATTCTCTATGTGAGTATGTCACCTGGAATTGTATCTGTGATCCCACTGGACCTTCTACAGTCCACACACACGTCCTGCTGGCTGGATATTGACTCACTCCATAGTTCAAACTCTCAATGACTCCTTCTGTACCAGTTTGGTAGAAGGTACATTTTGATTCTGAAAACTCCAAATGTTCATTTAAAAATTTCAAAGAGAATTAAATTTTCTTCTGAAACTATTTTATGCAAAAAATGAATTTTTGACATTGACACGTAAGCCATAGGGATGTACAATATGAAATGTTATTGCAATTAGGCTCAGGTATTTTTTGAGACATTATTTTGGAAATGAAAGTGTACCAATTCATAATATATGAATTTGTGACCATGATTGATACATGTGACATTTTGACCTCAGAATCAATAGACATCATCTGGAAATTGTTTTATGCAATAACTGAATATGTGACCTTGATCTTTTGAGATAGTTTTTTTTCCAAGTAAGGCCAATTTTAAAATAATGCTTGTTTGTCCTCTCCCGACTCAGGATGAAAAAATTCGGTCAGTAGGTAGGTAGGGGAAAAAAATCTCAGAAAATTGCAGTATCAATGCTGAATTCTCAAAAAAAAAAATTCCAGAATGCATAAAAAAAATAATTGTTTCCTGGAGGTTAATAAAAGTTTTTTTAGCTAGTAGTTTAGCTAGGAGACAGTAACCAAACATTTTCTTAAAGATATGGCCTAACAGGGATTTATGATATAAAATTTCATTAAGGACTTTTAGAGATTCATCCAGAAATAATTTAGTGTTGCAGAGATACAGGAAGATTGAATAACAGACAAACAGATGGATTGATGGACAAGCAGACACAAATTAATATATTCCCTACTTTAAGCAAAAAAAGGGGACAGAGGGACAACAAGAGGCCCAAAGGCCTTAACGATATAATACAACAATTTAGAGGATCCATAAAGTATAAAATAAACTGGTAGAAGAAGATTTGTTGCCCAAAAGCAAGAGAAATAGGATGATCAGGATCAATGAAATAATTAGTCTAGTATTCAGTAACAACTCGTAAATTAAATTGAATTAAATTAAATTAAATTAAATTTAAATTTTAATCCATCCCCCATTTATCACTATCGCAATGCAGACAATTAACAAACTAGTATTAGTTCTTCTGTACTACTTTAAACCCCATATTGTGATCTCTCACATTGGCCTCTCTTGGTCTTTGAAGAACATTTTTAAAATAAGTTATTTTTGTCTCATTTTGATTTATTTATTATTTACAAGCCTACCTGATCATTAAAACTATGAAAGTACTTTTTGTATTATACAATAACATTTTTTGCATAATTCTCTAAGTCTAATGACTTTCAAATACATATACATTATTTACAGTGATTGATTATCAAAAGTGAATGGCAAAGGGGAATAACTTCTCTCAATAGAATACAAATTAATAGAGCCCTGGCCAGGACCAGAACACTTGACCAAATGTTGCTGATGTTCAAAAATCTGATAAAATATCCTTGAATATTAAAACTTTTATTCTGTTTGCCTTCCATTTGCCAAGGAGCAGAGAAGATTTTCAAAGAAATAATGCATTTTCACTACAGAATCAACACAGCCCTATCCTAACACTAAAACCCATGTCCCAGGGTCATGAAATTCACAAATTTGGTAGAGGTACCTTCATCATCATCATAACTATGCGCTTAGTTGAAGATTTTCAAAGAATTAACACATTTTCACTATATTATCAATACCCCCCCCCCCCCCCCCCCCCCCCCCCCCCCCCGTGAAACACCAAAACCTGGGACCACAAGTTTTAAAAAAAATTGTAAGAAGCACAATTGTTCATCATAACTATGCACTTTGTTTATCAACAATAAGGGACAGACAGGATTATTTAACAGAAATAATGCATTTTCAATATTTTATCAAATAAATTATGCTTTTTCACTATATTATCAATAGACCCCTCCCCCAACCCAGGGGCCATGAATTTCATAATTTTTGAAAAGGCATCATTGCTTACCATAATCATGCACTTAGTTTGCTTAAATAATACCCAGGAGCAGAGAAGAAGATTTTCAAAGAATTAATGCATTTTTACTATATAATCAATAGAGTCCCCTCCTAACACCACAGCCCCTGACCCAGGGGCCATGAAATTCACAATTTTGTAAAAGGCATCCTCATGCATGGTAACCATGCACTTAGTTTGTTTAAATAATACCCAGGAGCAGCGAAGAACATTTTCAAAGAATTAATGCATTTTCACTATATATTATTAATAGAGCCCCACCCTATCACCAAAACCACTGACCCAGGGGCCATGAATTCACAATTTTGGAAAAGGCATCATTGTGCATCATAACCATGCACTTAGTTTGTTTAAATAATACCCTGGAGAAGAGAAGAAGATTTTCAAAGAAATAATGCATTTTCACTATATGATCTATATAGCCCCGCCCTAGCACCAGAACCTCTGACCCTGGGGCCATGAATTTCATAATTTTGGTAGAGGGCCCAATGCTTATTACAATCATGTCAACAGTTTGAGTGCTTGGTGTCCAGGAGTAAAGAAGAAGATTTTTAAAGATTGCATCAATTTTGGTGGTTTTAGCCCCACCCCTCGGGCCCCGAGGGGAGGGGGGCAGGGGCCTTGAAAGGGCTTTGTCATAGGGAATAATGTAATGACATGTCTCTGTGTAGTTGTTCTATCAGGAAAGAGTATGTGGGATGACGTATTGACGTGGGTAGTTTTAACTGAGAAATGAATTTGTATATACAATAAAACACGTTTAGTGCGAAAAAGGTTACAGCGAATTTACAGATAAAGCAAAGTTTTTTGCAATCCCCAGTGAAATTGTTTATAATTCCTAGTGAATTTTCATGGATATAATGAACACAGATATATCAAATCTATGGATATAACGAACTGCTTTTGTGTCCCCTAGAGGTTAAAACAACTAAATTTACATCTTTTATAGCACTGCCAAATTTTCAAGGATCCCAATTTTTAAAATATTAAACTGACACTTTTTTTGTAAGTATTTAAATTTGAAAATCAATTCATCCGAAAATTTTTGAACTCCAAGATAACTTTTGTATTTAATACATGTACTTCCCAAAATACATTAAAATTTTGTAGTCACACTTGAAGGAAAAAGTCGATATTGTGAATTTACTTTTTTTAACAAATTCATTTTACGAATATAACGAATTATGGATATAGAGAAGTAATTTCTCCAAGACTTAGCTATAACCGAGTTTTACTGTACATACTGCCTATAGGTAGTGATGATGTGATGACACTAAGATGGATGTGGATGTGGTCAAAGCAGTGAAAAGTGGTATCACTGTGGAGTAATATAGTGCAATGGGGATGATGTGGCCTGAAGGTCATCTTGGGTGCTTCGGTACATAGTTCTGATGTCAGAAGAGGAAAACGGTGTTCAGGGGAGCACAATTAGTTGAGTTGTGGTGTAGTGAGCTACCTGAGCCATGTAGTAGGATGCAGTAAGATGTGTTAATTCATGGAGTATCAAGAAATTTATGTATAAATGATAGTTTCAGAGGGTTATTATATGAGAGATAGTGTATGATTTTAAGACACCGGAACCTACCACAATCTCTCTCATCAGACCAGTCTCCACAATCATCATTATCATCACACAGGCTGTAAGCTCCCACACACCGCTCTGTTGTAGCACAGCTAAAAGTTCCTGTATATAATCATACTCAATTGTAACTACTGGGCCATTTCCTTAACCAAAAATAACTTTTTATCGGTAACGGAAAAGGGCAAGCATGATCCAAATGTAATCATACTAAAATTCATGTCAGATTCTGAAACCTTCAATGAATTTTCTTTGATTACAGGTAGTTATTTTTTAACACTTAAGGAGGAACATCACATTAAACTAGTACATGTATTTACTGGATTTTTATACTTTGACCTCTGACCTTTAGGACATGCCTGGCGTTCACACATTGATGATTGTAACATGTCACATGACTCAGCTTTCCACTTCCCGTCTGTGTTGACTAATACACAGCTCCCTCTTCCCCAGTCAGGCTGGAAGTCTCCCCATACACCAGCCTCAAACAATGCATCCCTCCCATCACTCCAAAATCCAACCGTGTCTCTACTACCAGAGTAACCATTTCTGTTGTAACCTAGGAAAGTCAATGAAAACTGATTCAATTATATAACATTATACAATGCACTGCAGGATAAAAAAAAATTGATGCAAATCAAAGCATCACTTCCTGGAGAGTGACATGCTGATCATGAAACCCCGGATCTAATTGTGACTTGATGATACCAATGATTTCTGCAGCTGAACATCACAATAGATGTAAAGTATGTGTCCCAAAAATTTTGTTGTGTCATTCACATCTGTAGTACTCACATTCAATAACAAAATTTTCTTCCAAATTTCTCTAAAAGAAACTGGGGGGATAAGCCGAGCCATATGCCTACATAACGATCGATAAAAAATCAATAAATTCATTTTACAAAAATTTCACTTTTTGTTGAATCAATGTAATGCTCATTACCATTTGCATATAAATTTGACAAAACCTGAATACTGTAACAGCGAAAATGATTCTGATTAACACAACAAAATGGCATCACGCTCAATTTTCACAGAAACTGCCATAAATTGGATGATATAACTACATTTTTTAAATAGAGTGGGTCATCGTACCATTTTTTTGAGAACGATTAATGAAAGGCAATGGAAAGATGTTGCTTTTTACACTTGCAAAAATTTGGTATTAAGACCCACTCTACATAAAAAATTCAGTTAACTTACTTAAATTTTCACCGTGGTCTTAAAAAATTCTAAGTCCGAAAACGCTTGCTAAATATAGAGAACTGTATGCTATTTAAATAGACATGTAAGTGCGACTCCATGTGTCATGGATTATCCGCGAGTGTATGTAACGTTAACTTTGTTGTGACGTCATAATACTTTCATTTGTTTCTATAGATAATAACAAGTCTCAAAAAAACCACTATATAATCAAGACGTCTTTTATTTCTTTCCACAACATTTTGGTGCCGTGACCGACGGAATTCTACGTAGTACATACAATGGAAGGAAGACTAAAAGCTATACGAGCCGGCAACAGATCAGCAGTTACAAAGCTATTTGGACGGTTTTTGGACTTGAAGGAAAATCCAGCCAGTGAAGAAATTACCGAGGAAATCAACATAATTAGAAAGTCTCTCACGCTGAAAAGGCAGACCCTACAAGAATTGAACGACCGCATATTGGATACCCTATCTGAAGAGGACATCGAAACAGAAATCGCAAATACAGATGAGTACATGTATGAATTAGACTGTAAAATTAGGCAAACTGAAAAATTTACAGAAAAAATTCCATGTAAAACTTTGAACGCCAATGCTGAGTGTTTTACACCCGCCACAGAAATTTATGATAATAACGTTAACACGTCAGCTACAATTAACTCAAGTGAAACGGCTTGTGAGAATATTTTGAACAATGTTCCTGCCTCTGATCTCAATGCACAAAGTAGCCAGGAAAATGTTTTGTCATCAACACTCCAACACGCCACGAATAATCACCGATTACCAAAGTTAGATCTTCTGCATTTTTACGGAGATGTATTAGAATGGAATACATTTTGGGATTCTTACGAATCAACGATTCATTGCAATCATACTTTGACACCAATTCAAAAGTTTAGCTATCTCAAAGCTCAATTACGCGACACAGCAGCACAAACAATAGCAGGATTTGCGCTTACAAATGCTAATTACGAAACGGCAATAGACTTGCTCAAAGAACGATTTGGTCAGCCACAGAAAATTATTAACGCTCATATGAGAGCACTCATCGAACTTCCTGCCCCCAGAAATGATGCCATTAGTTTAAGAAATTATGGAGATTTCTTGGAATCTCATGTCAGGAGCTTAGAGTGTCTAGGACAAAGACAAGAGATGTTTGGAGCATTACTTATTCCAGTCATAATCAACAAACTACCAATTGAAATTAGGAAAAACATTGCACGTGAGTACGATGGTGACAACATTTCAAAATCTTCGTAAAGCTATCAGCAAAGAAGTCAAAATCCTTGAATCAGGCCAGATTGAAAACAGCGGTGGATTTCACGCAACAGCAATGTTTCTTACCGGAGCCTCAAAGAAACAACACAACGTTCGTTATTCACATAACCAGAAAATGAGAGAATCAACTCCTCATGTTGAAAAAACAAAGATGAAGAGCCGCCCATGCATTTATTGTTGCACAGAGAATCATTTTCCAGGGGATTGTAAGAAAGTTACAGACGTAAGTGCAAGATTCGACATCTTAAAACGGAAGAAATTATGTTTCAACTGCTTGGGAAACCACCGCGCCTCAGATTGTAAATCCCGCAACAGGTGTAAAAAGTGTCAGAAAAAACACCACACAAGTATATGTAACGTGAAACTAACGAAGGACTGAGACGAGCCCACCAAATCAACAAGTGTCAACATCGTAGAAACGAATAAGAAGCCAGAAACCAGAGAAATGAACTTTGAACATCGACCTACAAGTGTTTTACTGAATACAGCTAGGCCTATCTCTCCGATAAGTCAGACCGTGGACTCCATGCAAGAAGAACGTAACAAGATGACTAACGAAATACAGCAACTAAAATCAGAGCTGAAGATCCAGACACAAAGGAGGAACGCAATGGAGCAGGAGAATGCCACCCTGCTAGAGAGAGTGTCACAATTTGACCAACAAAGGGATTTTCAGACTCGTGTAGAGAATGTGATGGAGATGATGGAACAGAAAAATAAACTGGCGTACGAAAACGGACGTCTACATCACAGGTGCTTGAGGACAGGAACCCCCCCCCCCCCGGATACAGACCCCCAGGTCTGTTCGACTCTTTTCTCATAAATTATATATGGATGACACATTTGTGATATAATATCCATATCATCAATTCGGAAAATTGACTTAAACATTTTATAAAAATTACTACCCTACCCTATATATATAAATTAACAAGGTTGCCAACTTCGTCTGCAAACCGAGAGGCACTGCCGAGGAATTTTTGTTGAATTGTCTCATAAATCTACACATAGCCCTAAAATCAACAACTCATGTCGTAGGATAATTATTCTTTTCATTAACCACCAACTCTCATAAAGGTTTAGGCACTTCAATAGTCGTTTCGCCCAATTTTCCACAAGGATGTTAGCGTTTTCAAACTGATCGAAGCTTATTCAACGGAAGTGATGAGGATACGACTTTCTACCCAAATACACATTTCTGCAGAAAGTCTGAAACACTATTTTGAAATAAGCATTTGAAGAAATTTGGTTGAGATACACTTTAAAAATATATTTCAAATGTATTGGAAGCATAAAGTTCTAAACCACTTATGTAAATGAAATGTTTCTAATTATTTTTCAACTACCTGATTTGCGGTTTTCGTTTTGGGAGTTATGCCCCTTTTAAAAATGCAATTTATTTAAATACCTTCTTTTCTCTAGATATTTCGCATAAAATCTAAAAAATGTTAGAAAAAATATTTATTTTATTAAAAATTCGTGCAAAAAACAACAATGTGTCCAGTATTTATACCTTGCACTCATATTTGGTTTGCACTCATATTTGGTTATATGGAGGAAATGGGTAATAGTCCTCTCCTCATTACTTCCGTTGAATAAGCTTTGACGAAGTTGGCAACCTTGTTGATTTATATAGATAGAGGGGGTAGATTTTATAAAATGTTTGTTTTAGGTAATTTTTCGAATTGTTGGTATAGATTATATCAGAAATATGTCATTGAAAGATGATTTATGAGAAAAAAGTCGAAAAGGCCCAGGGGTCTATATGGGGGGGGGGGGGGGGGGGTCCTGTCCTCAAGCACCTGTGGTCTACATAAGGAGATTCAGGAATTAAGGGGCCAAGTTGACATACTCAAAACCGCCAGCTCTGACTAGGAGCACGTCAAGGCTAAAAACAACAGTCTTCAGTCACGATGTGATTACACTCGAAGGGAAATAAGTGATCTAAAGATCAAAGTACAGAGATTGGAAAATCAGCTGCAAACTTTACAGGGCTCCGTAGATAGCAGGGAGAGAGATTACACGTTCGCCGTAAAGACTCACGTTGAGGCACTAAGGGAGAAAACTCAGCTGATAGAAAAACTTGAAGAGGCCAAGGAGAAGGAAAAAGATAAGTCACAGAAAAAGAATCTCAGGGACATGACAGAGATAAAGAAACAAAATGACAACCAGCAGATTCGGAACATGGAGCTGGAGAAAGCTATCACAGAAATATGTCACAAACACTCTGAAACTGAGACTCTGATACAAAACCTGAAATATAAAGTGTCTGAAGAGAAGATGATCGAGTATCAAAACCAAAAGCCAAAGAAAGAATCCGTGAATGGACCTCTTAATTTAGTGATTATGAACTTGCTTTTTATTTCAATGGAACTGTTAATTTAATATGAGCCTTTTTAAAATTTTACTATTCATTTTGGTGCCCGGAGTGTCATGGATTATCCGCGAGTGTATGTAACGTTAACTTTGTTGTGACGTCATAATACTTTCGTTTGTTTCTATAGATAATAACAAGTCTCAAATAAACCACTATACGATCAAGACATCTTTTATTTCTTTCCACAACACCATGGTCTAGTGGTTAGCGAGGAGCTCTTTAAAGTGACGTTTTTAAAGGAAAGTGTTCGAGTCATGCTCTGATTTTTTGGGGTTTTTTTTGTTTTAATTTTGTTTTACTTTATAAAAATGTCTATAGGAATAACATTTTTCACTGGAAATAAAATATATACATGTAGTAATGAACTTATTTACAGTAAATTATTTAAAATGCTGGATAAAAATTATAATAGATATTTGAATACATTTATTCCTGTTTTATTTATTTTAAATAAAAGCGCTTCTAGATCACCATTATCATTATATACGATGTTAACATTTTTATAATATCTCCACAATAAGTGTAAACACTCAATATACAGATTAATTAATAGAAGTCCTTACCCATGTTAAACATTTGTGACAGTAAATGAAAGTCAACTGTTTAGCTTGTTTAGAATATAATATCATTTTGAAAACTACGGTAAACATTAAAATGCTTAAGTAAATTTGAACAATTGAGAGATTTTTTCCAATAATGTTCTTGCATAGCCGAAAAATGGGCATGGGCACATGGCTCGTCTTATCCCCCCAGATTCTTTGGAAAATTCTTGTAAAACTTCTTGTAAAATCAAAAAATTTAGTGTGATTAAAAAAATGTAAAACAAAATTTAAAGGTATGAATCATAACTATTATGACATAATCTATATCTATTAGATCATTTTTTTAAATTCAAAGTCATAACTTTAACATACGGTAATCAATAACGAATTATTCTATTGAAATAATAAAAAATAACACCTTCTTTTCCTCACTTGCAGATTTAGGTAGGGGCAGATTTACGTAGGGGCATTCCCCTCTTTTGAAATTATCATGCATTTGATTTTGAGGGGGGGGGGCGAATTTTTTCAAGTCATATTATCTATTTTCTTCCCAGTTGAGGACAGATTTTTTATTTTCATTCCATTTTCGAGGACTGATTAGTTATTTCGAAAACTTGCCAATCCCCCCATGCACCCCTCCCCTCCCTCAGAATCAAAAGGTTGTCCCCAAAAGCTCAACACACAAAAATCAAATAGTTTTCAATGCCATGAACGATGTAAAATAGTAAAATTACAGCCATTGACGAGTTCAAATAAGGTTCTCCAATTCCGAACCCCCCCCCCCCCCGGGCACTCTTCTTGAGTCATATTGATAGGCTTGGGACCTCGGCATACCCCCAATTTACCTATCCAGTAGTCCTGTATTTTCGTTCCTCGGCTGGCAATCTCTCCAAAGAGTGCGCCGACCTCGACCCCTTTTGGCTCTGCAAGTTTTCCACCATACCTGCAAAAAATGTTTCAAAAAATAACCATAACTAACATGTACCATTCAAATTCTTGTAGAAAAGTATCAGATCGTTGATCTCTCTCACCCATGCAATTTTTATTTATTGTTTATCGTAAGAGGGCGCTCGAGTTTGGCGCGTTTGGTCTGAAGGTCAGCATTATACATACGGTGTAGAGGTCACGTTATCAAGCCAACCCTGTTAATTGATGTGGGTATAGCAGGTGACCTGTGTGTACACATTAGAAGGTTAGCAGCTGGTTGTGTGAGAACCTCTGGATGACATCATAGACTTCATATGCTTTCATGTTTTCTTTCAAGGTTTTTTAACACAGAAATTAATGTTTCGCCCTCTTTCAAGTTGTGAATTCAATCATATCAAGTTTAACTGCTCAACAGGAGCCTTGTTTAGTTGATATTGTAAAAATACACAGAAAGCACGTACTTGCACATTGTATACCTACATGATAACTGAAAAGAAAAGGAAACAGATTTTGCGCCATAGTTCCTTCAAAAGACGATCCAAAATGGTATATAGCCAAAGTTATCAAATTGAACCTATCATATATTGAAATAAGTAGAATATTTTTTACCATTCACTTATAAATAAAAAACGCTGAAAGGAGGGATAGCATAGGCGTCGGAACCTGGAGGGCTTAACCCCCCCCTTTTTTTTTTTTTTTTTTTTTTTTTTTACAAAGAATTGGTACTGAAAAAAGTTCGACCCCCCCCCCCCCCGAAATAGGATTTTCGGGTTTGGAAAATTTTCAATTTTCTTTTTTTTTGGGGGGGGTGTCAATTTTTTTCTCTCTTTCAATTACCCCCCCCCTTCAATTTACTTCCGACGCCTATGGATAGTGAAGGTAAATGGAGGAAAGGAAATATGTGAGACTATCTATTTTGAACTACGTTCATATTCAAAACGTATTAGACACAAAAATATCGTTTTCAGAAGACATGTTTTATCCCTTCCCTTCTCAACCATTTACCAAAAAATAAAACCCCTGAAAGGGAGAGATAGTGAAAGTATATGTGTGAGACGTCGACTGTATCTATAGCAAAGTGGTATACATATCTATTCCAGGAAACGTTTTATTTCTCTCCCCCCCCCCTCTCTCTCTCTTCGCTTGGCAAAAAATAAAGGGAGGTTCCAACCCACGGACCCCCCTCCCCTGGATCCGACAATGCATAATTTTTTTTAAAATATCTTTCTTTGTTAACTTAGTACGGGAATGAACGGTTGTAGCTATCACAGACGAATTTTTCTGCAATATAACAACTGTAACTTTAATTCCTGTACTAAAAAATAAAGAAAACATTTAATATTGTTTTAAAAAAGAAGCAAATTTGACTCAAGAAAGACAAAAAATCAGTACAAGATATTCAAAGAGGTGATTACGAGGACATTATACTAAGGCTCATAGGGATTGGAGGGACACGCAAAAAGGTGCCCCTCCCCCATATAACATCTAATATATTATTTAATTTACGGTTATTCGCCCTCAATAACAACATCTGATTATCTTAATGCTATCATTTTTTAAATTCGTTTGTTTTATCAATTTTATTTTTAGTGGGTATATAGATAAATTTCTGATCCCCTACTCCACATGCTAGAGACCTGCCCACGGCGAGATACTTTTGACTTGGCGCCGAGGTATATAAGGAGCGTAGGGACGTTAACCGGGGGCTCTTACTTGTAGGAGTACTGATCCCCCATCCCGAAAAAATTGTAATATCATGGCATATTTCAAAAAATGTTTAAACATACATGTAGCTTACCGTGTACAATATTTGTATGCTTCCATCCACGACTGTTTGTGGGGGACTTTAAGAACGCATTTCCCCAGAACCTTGTACCACCCTAAGAAGATGAAAATTAATAACCAGCATTAGACTGACTAACATATGACATTGCTATCTGAAGCTGAAATTAGATAAAGCAAGTGTATTGTACTAATGAATACATTACCAGGTGATGAATCGCACTGTAATACCAAAGTCTCACTACCTCCCTTGAAAAAAGGAGAAAATATTAAATATTCTAAAATAAATAACAATGCCTTCTCAGTATGCAATTTGTAAAGTGCGCTTATGTCAGCTTTGGGAATTGTGAACAGTTGGAAATTATATGTAGAATATATGCATATTTCTACAGTGTATATATATATATATATATAGAGAGAGAGAGAGAGAGAGAGAGAGAGGATATTCAATATTTTCTAGTTGGAATTTATTTCACGAGTGGGACAGGATTTTTGATATTTTCACGAGTGCGAAGCACGAGTGAAAATAAAAAGAAAATCTTGTCTCACGAGTGAAATAAATTCAATATCCAACTAGAAAACATTGAATTTTCTGTTTATTACATTTTCTTTGATTTTTCCCTTTGCCCCTTGTCAGTGTCATAGGCTGTGTGGCGTCATAGTTGTAGCAGTTGCGAAGTCATAGCTTGGCAGTTGTGAGATTGAAAACATTGTAAAATGGATTTTAGCAACATATTTGTGAAGAATTTGGCAGTTGTAATCTCCGTCAAGATGGTTTAGTTTCTATCTCAATCTTGTTACATGCTAGAAATTATATTTTACTTACTTCGATATCCTTTCACACTGTGACAGAATATCACTTTGGTATCCTTTCACACTGTGAGAGAATATCACTTTTATTCAATGAATAAATCACAGTATTTCACCGTTGAAAATGTAGTAAATATATATACTTCCTCTCTTTGAATTCTTGTTCATACCAATAAAAACCAACAAAAAATATTTGCAACTGTTTCAAAATATGTGTAGCTATCTGTTGAATTATAGCTTCGTTGGAAAAATATCGCTAACATTTTCAGTATTTCGTAAATAATACAAGGGAGTAAAATCACTGGTGATTCTACATGGAGTATGATATCCATTGTTCGAAAGCTCTACTGTGACTGAGGAACAGTTATTCTCATAGACTTTGAAATCATTCAAAGACTCAATTTGCGCGTCTAAGATGTCAAAATCACGAGGGGGAGGGGGTGGGGGTGGGGTATTATACTATTGTATCAGTGAAAGCACCTACCCCCTTTCCCCACAAGCTGAAACAATAGTTCGATAGGATTAACTTGGTACAGGAATATAAGGCGTGATTGCTCTAGCTCCTGTATTTCTACAACCCAACTGATTATCTACTAAACGTGTATTATATACTGAGGATATATTCTTATTGTTTCTTGTCAACGGTTTAATTGTAATATTGAGTAGCACTGATGGGACCTATTGATATACACTGGTATCTTTATTTGGAGTATTTTAAAAATGTCTGGCACTTTACTCTACAAAACATAATAAAATGTATAATGTTTTATTCACCCTTACCCTAGTCATGTAAACGGATAAAAATATCCACACCACCATAAAATAACGGTCCATTTTCCTTCGTCTCCAGGTTCCATTCATCGGAGAATAATGATGGGAAGACTAGAATAGAAAACTTGACATAATGGTGAAAGACAGAAAATCGGTTCACTCCATTATCGATATCCTGAAGCTTTCGAGCACTTTATACAGAGGATGCTGGGTGAATTAAGTCATTCTCACTTACTCCGTGTCACAATTAATACACGTTCAGGTGTTCACACGGGTTTTATTCCTGAGTTAATGAAGTTTTGAACGACCTGGTATTGTTTCAGTTTGGTCGTCGCTCTTTTAATGGACGGGGGCATGTATTAGCTACTGTTTCCATATACGTTATTGTAAGAAATGCTTAATGCCAGGGTATACATGTGTGTATTTGTAGAATAAATATAAAACTGAATGGTTCAAATTAAATCAATGAAATGTTTTGGTTGGACTTTTATTAATGGAATATGAAGTGTGTCGTTTATATTTAATGTCACTGATCTCCAGGGATTAGTCTTAATCGGATCAGAAGTTGTCCACGGGTCAGCGCTCTGGTCATCTTTCAATACACAGACAATAATTGTCTTGGACAATAGACAATACAGGTAATTCTGTATGTACTTAAATATATGTACACGTACCCACATGCATGGAATGACAAGTAAATTCAGACATACAAATGCATGATGGCCCTCTTGCAAAGCGACTCTCCGAAATCTTTTTCCTTCACCATAGACTTCACTCATTATTCGATCGACAGCTAGTTTATTCACATAAATAAAAGGGTAGCATTTATATATTATAAAGGGGTATAATTATGTAATATTAAAATTTGTTTAAATTTGTGGTGTAATTCATATCAAAGAACTTTCAACCCTCCATTCATATGACAGGGAAGGGGGGGGGGGAGGCAGAAATTCCTTGGTGAAAATGTGCCTGTAAGAATTAGGCCACGGTAAATTAACGCGTTATTTTACGGGCAGGCAAGTTTTCAGAAAAATCCTGTAGGGAAAAAGAAAATAAGTCTGTCAATCAATAAATTATTTTTTTTTTTTTAGTTCTTTCCCAGATTCATTCGGTGTTAAGACTATCCCTTTCTCAATCTTTGATGCAATTCCAGTTTTTAAATGTTAACAAATAAAAAATCCCAACTAAAGAAGCAAATCTGTAAAGAATTCGAGTGTGTTCCGTCATATACATGCTTTGAATTCCTTACCGTGTGAAAATAGATAATGGCAAAACAAAACAGATTTCTTATACTTGCTAATTCTTGAAATTGTTTTAGAAATGTTTGATGTTTTAATTGGTCTGGAGGATACCTTTTAGAATTTATGGACGCAAAGCAAAGATATCATTTACCACGTCTCTATAGCAGTGTATTGACATTAAGAACAAACATTACGTTTTTCTCGAAATCATCGTTTTTGTGACCTTTAACTTACGTTGACGTAGGAAGGGAATAAAGTTAAAAAAAGCAGATATCCTTATTAGAATTCTTGTGTCACTTTACGCCTTCTCTGGTCGGCAATGCACAGTTTATTTGTAAATGGTATGCATATGGTGCCATGTTGAAAGGGGACGAACAAGATTGCATCTACTTATCATGCTGGAATCACATCTCGAAAATTTTTTTTTGTCCTGCATAAGATCTATAATTCATGTCGAATTTATAATCAGTATGGGATTATATACTGTAAAGTGCAATAATATTTGTCAATTCTAATCTCCTTTTCAATGAACGTAGAGGCGTTACCTACATACATGAAGCAATATCGGCAATCCTCCCATAACATATGAGGGTACACATTTTTTTTTCAATTTCGATGGGACATACAACCTCTGTGTATTAGGTTCTCTTTTGATCATGATCTGATTAAGGGTATGTTAGCACAAAGAAATCTATCAGCTTTGCTGCAAGTTGAATTGTAAGCTACTGAAATTCTGGTTTTGTAACCCCACCCCCACCCCCAGAAAATTCAGAAAAGGTCAAGGGAGGTAATAGAAACACCTAAATTTTAACAATGGTCATCTTTTTGAGGTCAGAATCTTACAAAATAAATTAATTTATGTGTGTAGGTTTATGCACACTTTTTTAAACCATATTTGTTCTGAAAACTTCCTATGTCATAGAATTTTGACCTCTTGTTATCTCCCTGTAAACCCAAGGTTAAAATGGTCCATAGCTTTCAAGAAAAGGGTTTAAAAATGATAACACACTGAATATACTTCTACAATTATCTTTATTTCTATTGATTTTAAATTTCTAATTATGCTTGGGAAATTCAAAGATACAATTCTAAATATTTCTGACTTGCATATTGAATGAATTTGATAAATTTTTAAGAACTGATTTGCATTAAAATGATAAAAAAATACACCATATGAATTAAGTACTAAAAGTAAAGAGTCAATACAATTCAGTAAACTTAATAAGCAGCTTGAAACATCTGCTTGAAGACACAATATGACAATTAAAATATTATTCAATTTCCCATAAATTTATTTCATCCAAATTCAAATCACCATTCCTATGATATAAAATATTTATCAGTTGTGGACCAATCATTGCAAAGTATCTGTAAATTCTGACCAATCACATCGTAGCAAAGTAGCACCTCCCAATCAATCTAATACAAAAATATCACAGTTTTCATTGTCATGTTACTGTATATATACAAGGAGGGAGATTATACAATACATAAATTATTCAGTTATATACAACAATTATAAATACAGTTATTAAATAAATAGCTGAAAAATCTTGCTGGAACAAAAAATTAGTTGTCATGTTATCACATTTGATAGAATAATGATGAAATTTTGATTGTGTAAAATATGTTAGTGAAAATATCTCTACGTTCATCTAATGACAAGAAAATTACAGATGTGTTGAGGCTCTTGTACAAGTATACAATATTCATATATTAATATTACAAACATAAAATGGACCATTATGTCAAATCCATATTTGGTATAAACTTATACAAATATAAATGTGAAAAACGAGGACGGAATTTTTGAAAAAAAAAAAAAACAAAAACAAAAAACTGGAGTATGTGGTAAAAAGAAAAAAAAAAAATAAAAATGCTCTAAAACACAGAAAAATATACAATCAAACAATATATTTACCAATCCATGATAAAAGTATAATATTATGCCACTTCACGAGTATCCCTCATAAAAAATTATGCTGGTAATATCACAGTGCATTAAAATTTATAAAAGCCATTAGATATAATACACAACTCACATCAGAAGGGTAAACATAAAAACATGTACCCTGATAAACCAATCAGAATAGCTGGAATGTTACTGTAAACTAATGATAACTTAAACTGAGCATTTTCTTAATATGCTTTGTCCCATAAAATGTGATTTCTCTCAAATACAAGTTTAAAGAAACTAGATTCTTATGCAAACTTCCTGGAATGTAATACACAGGAGTGTAGGCACTTTGTAACAAATGGACACATGGTTAGTTAGTAGCACTTCTGAAAATTTTCTTTGCTTCTTGATTATACTAACATGGACATTAAACAACATCATACATAGAATAATACTCATCTTTCAACTTTGGTTTTCTTTGCATGATATTTAAAGGATAAAAAAATCTATTCACACCGAATTAATACAAGTTTTTCTTTTTGATGCTAGAAAAAAAAAATACTAGAGGAGCTATCAAATTACAAAAATCACATCCATTTACATCTCAAAAACCGACCCATTCTACATAAATCTCTGATAAAAATAATTGTAAAATCCTAATATTAATTCATATAAGACCTAGTTAACGTTCAACAACATATTCCTTCCCATAAACCACTTCTACATCATCATCAGATCCATGACGACGACTGCTTCGACTCCGCCTCTCACTGCTCTGTACAGCATAACGCCCACTGCCATGGCGACTGGGAGCCTCGTGATACACGACTCCATTGTATGCACGGAGATCTCCGTCTTCCTGGATGATATCCCGATCATCTGTTATGTAATTCTCCTCATATCTCCGCTTAGTGCTTGGACTGCGTTGTTGAATTATCTGTAAATGACCACAGGTAGACATAATTGCTTGAATTTATTCAATAGAATCATTTTTCATTTTCATTTCATATTTAGTATCAAATTAAGAATAAACTTTTCCCTTATCCATTTCCATTTTAATTAACATTTCTATTACCACTTCTTCATCCTCCTGGTGCCTGTGTCGTCGAGGACTTCTGGAGCTCCTCGTGGTCTCAATGATCTATGAGAAAGAAAGACAAAAAAATTTTTTTAATGTAAAAAAAAAAAAAAAGACAGAAAAAGAATTAAAATTCAAAATACATTTTTCATTTTTAGTATGAAAATCTTTTACTGAAAGCTCTATGTTTTACAGGTAGAATTTAAAGAAATTCCTAGATGTTTAAGTTACATGTATTTACATCTACTCACACATCACACAAGGTGGATTACATAAGGATCATTTTTACTACAGTTAGGAGGATAGAAACAGACACAGCTAATGTATATGTTTTTGTTTTTTGTTTTTTTTTTGAATAAGAAATAAAAATGTTAATACCAACTACAATATGCTTTACATGTACTATACATATTCAATAATTATTATAAGCAGTTATCCTAGCTTACAAATTATCACACCACAAACTCCCACCTCATTTGATTTCTATAAATACATACATTAATTTTTTAAATTATATCATTTGTAAGGTTTACAGATAAAAGATTTAAGGATTACTTAAAAAAAAAAATTTGCTAATGAAATTTTTAAAAAGCCCAAACAACTAATAAATTAGCAATTAAACAATCCAAACACTGATTTCTGTTTACCCTTTCATCGTCATAGTAACCGTGGCTTCTCCTTCCTGGAGAAGGTGAATATTCCTATAAACAACATTAAGAAAGGTGTGAATAAGAAAGTGAAACCTAGATTCCGCTTTTGTTACTATTTACGATCTCCTATCTCTCTCTCTCTCTTTTTTTTAATGTAAGGCATGTAATGTTCATATAATTTGGACAAATAACAACCAAAAAAATACAAAGCACCTAAATCTCCAACAGCTAGAACTTTAATTTCCTGTTCATGACACAGTAATAATTCAACTGCATTGTTAGCACTGAAATGTTTTCAACATATCAAACATCAACAAGATTAAAAGTAAAGTATTTTGAATATGGAACAGTGTAATTGGCTCCAAATCTAAATGTTAAATGATTTTCCATTAGTAAGAATCTTTGTTATTTTAATTAGTTGTCGTGTAACCTGCAAAACCAGTGAAAGTAAACATGAAAGTGAAAGTGAACATAGTGCTTTGTTATGGTACGGGATGCTGGAATGAGAAGTTCTGTTAATTAAGATGGTGGTCTTTCCTTGTTTTCTTGATCTGTGAAATCTTTAATAAGAATGACACTTTACTATGAAACTTGTCAAAACTGCATGGAGATACAACGATATACATATAAAGTTAATAATTTTTCCCTGTAAAAACAAGAATGATAAAAGAGGAGTCTATGGAGAATGTTAGTGGTATCATTATGACAACTACATGGATGGTATGCACATGTATTAAATTTTTATACCACTGGTTCCTCAACTTCTTGTCGGTAGACATGACGACTTGGACTCGAACTGCGGATCACCCGCTCAACAACCTGGCAGTTTGTATATATGACAGGTATTAAAATAAATGGTATATTTCTATTTCATCCTTTCATTTCATTTCTTTTCTTATTTTATAATTACTGTTAATTTCAATTTTTTTTAATATGACTTTATTGGTAATTTTGTGATTTCCCTAAATTCTTATTCCCCCCCCTTAAATTTTTTTAATTGGTGTAAAATAGTAGCTATCTTATTAAAATGCATAGTTCCATAATTAACCATAATTTTACGGTTGCTAAAAACCCTCTGAAATCTTTGTTACAAAAACATATATTCCTTATAAAAACAAAATTATTGAGAAGAGGATTATGCAGGTACACGTAAATTAAACAACATTTCATGAAGGAATAACAGCTTATATCAGAAATAAAATGGAAGGAGGCTGAAAAATAAAACAAGCCCAACACCAATGAACTAACAAAAATGTAAGGGATGAGATTATATAATGGAGGAAGACAGAGGTACAGAGAATATGAGGTTATACCGTTGGTTCCTCTGCCTCGGTGCGAATTATTCGAGTAGGACTAGCACTGCGACTTCGTATAACTCGTTCAACCACCTAGTTCACAGGACAAATATTGGATGTTTAAATTGTGTAATACTGTACAAGTTTTATTAATTTATAAATCATCAAATAAAAATTGACTTTATATGAAAGTCATGAGATAATTAATTTTTCTATGGATAAATTATGTGCTAAAAAATAAAACCAAAACTCAGAATAAAATCAATAGTGCTAAAAAAGAGACTGAAGGAAAAGTTATTGATCCATCTTAAATAGCTGAGACACTGAAAGGGAAAAGGAGGTAATGTGCTGCAGTCTTGTTATTAATGTTATAACTAGTAAGATTTTTTTTGTTAATCTATGCATAACAAGTGTTTCAAATTATTTCTATCCTTTAATTGTTTTTTTTTTTTGGCTCTTGAAATAAAGTACTATTAAGAAAACTTTTTTAAGATTCTGAAAATTATGTAAGATGTGTAGTCATAGACAGAGTCTAAGTGAAGATTCCAGAGGAACTCCAAAAATATCTACTTCCCAGTCTACTTAGTAATTACCATTTCACTGCTGGGCTCAGTTATATAGTGGGTCGGGCTAGCCGAGCGCACTACCTCCTGAAAATCAGTACACTTGTATAGAATTCTCAATAAATATGCTAAACTTCCATCCCAAATTTATGAGCTTAAAGCTAATGTATTACATATTGATACCTGAAGAAGTTTTGGTTACTCAGATTGAGAAAAGTTGAATATCTGGTTTTAAATTGATAGGTAGCTTGTATATAAATGTTAAGTGTTATAAAATTTCAGAGTACCGGTAATGCAATTGGGTAGCATTACAGAAATAAATATCATATTTGATTAATTCAATAGAAGACAGTACATAATTTGTCGCTACAAAGGGACTATACATGCATGTGTTTCTATGGGGAGGATGTTATGATAATAATTCTACTTTTCATTAGCAGACCTGTTCATATTAAATTATAAAATTTAATTTGAGCTCAAAATAAAGACTTAAACATTTATACCTCTATTTTTTTTTTAGTATTGCAATATTCGTAAACAGGTCTGCCATTGCCATTATAATTGGAGTCTACAATAATTACCACTTCTTCCACCGGTTCTTCTATATAACGAACAGGGCTAGCAGACCGCATAGTCTCAACCACCTGTTATTGTAAAACCAAAACCAAGATTTTTCTTTTGAGGTAAAAGCACATATCTAAATTCCCTAATTTTAATAGATCCCTTGTAGATCATACTAAACATTTCCTACCGCAAAGTGTTCAAAATCTTGACTCTACATAAAACTAAACATTTAGTGCCAAATCATCTAAATTTTTAGTAAGCTTAACTGTCGCACATCAACACACTTAGAGGTAAATAAACATTGTTTCAATTATTAAAAGTATTAGTTTTAAAAGAACACAACAATTATCACTACAAATCACTCCATAAGAAATCATTAATTCAATCTGAAGCTATGTAAGAAATGCACAAGAATTTTTTTCTTCCTTTCTTTGCAACATTTCTACAAGTAAAAGAATAATTTTAACAAATTAAATGAAGGGGAGATAACTCACCACTTCCTCTCCTTCATCACGGTGGCGCCTGCGGTGATGCTTCTTCTTCTTCCTCCTCTTGCGTTTCTTCTCCACATCTTCATATGTGTAGGAGAGAGCAGGTAGGCGGTGTGGTCGAGGAGACTCCGTCCTAAAGGGTAAACACATCAAGTAAGGTGATCAGATATAACAAAGCTCCCCCCCCCCCCCCAATCATTGTGTTCTAAAAGCGAGCCCAAGTCTTGTATCAAATTAATGATCAATAGAAATATTGCTTAGTTTCAACTGAACAATGTATGAGATACAAGCTGAAAAATAAAGCATCTGAAGACAAACTCAAGAAGTATGCATCCCTAGATGCATCATCTATGCCAGTTTGGAACACTTCAGACTACTTAAGATTGGACCTGCCCAAAAAGCATTAACATGTACGAGACACTGATGCTGACATCAGGGTATAGAATATAAGCTCATCTTCACCTTACTGAGCTGAGTAAAAATATTTTAAAACCATATTCAAAGGAATAAGAAGATTCCTACTATTCTACCTATTTCACCAACTATTATCAACTGAACAAGACTGATCTGGGATTAACTTACACAAGCTGAGTAGTTACTGGAGGCACAGTCTCATAACGCACGATCTCATAATCATTCTCCTTCCTGTGAAACAGAGTCCAATTAGTTACAGAAAACATTTATTACAGTATGAAAATATCAAAAAGAATTTTCCGCTTTTGACACACTAGGTATGAACTGACCTGAATCCACCGTTCTGTACTCTGACATCAACATCTTTCCTGGATACGGCGGATGGTTGTCTACAACAAAAATTAAATATAAGGATATATTTCACTTCCTGGTATCAAAATAGATTCTTTTACTATCCAACATCCATGTTTCTGAGTAAATTACACTTATTAAAAAATAGATTAGGCTGTGAAGTGTAACTTCATTAACCTGTAAAAATAAGACCATTCTCAGACTATTTCATAAATTGTTAATCATTGTACTTTATTAATTTTGCTCTGGTCTTTAAATTTGCCAAAAAAAAAAAAAAAAAAAAAAAAAAAAAAAAAAAAAAATCCTCAATATCTGTACACAAACATTTCATTCAAAATACATGTACTTTTTTCAGAAGTACATGCAGATTAATAGTTAATATTTGCTTTTTTTAAAAACCAAACCTCTCAAGTTTAGATTATTTTTGCAAAAACAAGGAAATCGGGTTAATCAAACATGACTGTATAATAGCATACATGGTATTATAATTTAACAAGAGGCCCATGGGCCACATCGCTCACCTGAGTAACTTTAGCCATGCTGTTCTTAACCAGATTTCCCCTCTTGTAATACTTATTGTGGGCCCGCCCTACCCCCGGGGGTCATGATTTTTACAATTAAGAATCTCCACTACCCCAGGATGCTTCCATATAAGTTTCAGCTTTTCTGGTCCAGTTGTTCTTGAGGAGAAGATTTTTAAAGATTTTTCTTACATATTTCAATGTAAAATTGGATTCCCTCTTGTGGCCCCGCCCTACCCCGGGGGTCATGATTTTAACAATTTAGAATATCCACTACCCCAGGATGCTTCCACATAAGTTTCAGCTTTTCTGGCCTAGTGATTCTTGAGAAGAAGATTTTCAAAGATTTTTCCTTTATATTTCAATGTAAAACTTGGATTCCCTATTGTGGCCCCGCCCTACCCCCGGGGGTCATGATTTTTATTATTTAGAATCTCCACTACCCCAGAATGCTTCGACATAAGTTTCAACTTTTCTGGCCTTGTGGTTCTTGAGAAGAAGATTTTTAAAGATTTTTCTTACATATTTCAATGTAAAACTTGGATTCCCTATTGTGGTCCAGCCCTACTCCCGGGGGTCATGATTTTTATCTTTTAGAATCTCCACTACCCCAGAATGCTTCCAAGTAAGTTTCAGCTTTTCTGGCCCAGTGGTTCTTGAGAAGAAGATTTTTTAAAGATTTTTCCTTTATATTTCAATGTAAAACTTGGATTCTCTATTGTGGCCCCACCCTACCCCCTGGGGTCATGATTTTTACAATTTAGAATCTCCACTACCCCAGGATGCTTCCACATAAGTTTCAGCTTTTCTGGCCTAGTGATTCTTGAGAAGAAGATTTTTAAAGATTTTTCTTACATATTTCAATGTAAAACTTGGATTCCCTATTGTGGTCCCGCCCTACCCCCGGGGGTCATGATTTTTACAATTTAGAATCTCCACTATCCCAGGATGCTTCCACATAAGTTTCGGCTTTTCTGGCCTTGTGATTCTTGAGAAGAAGATTTTTAAAGATTTTTCTTACATATTTCAATGTAAAACTTGGATTCCCTATTGTGGCCCCGCCCTTCCCCCGGGGGTCATGATTTTAACAATTTAGAATATCCACTACCCCAGGTTGCTTCCACATAAGTTTCAACTTTTTTGGCCCTGTGGTTCTTGAGAAGAAGATTTTTTAATGACCCCACTCTATTTTTGTCTTTTCTTGATTATCTCCCCTTGTAAGGGGACTTGGCCCTTTATTTTAACAATTTAAACTCCCCTTCACCTAAGGATACTTTGTACCAAGTTTGGTTAAAATTGGCCCCGTGGTTCTTGAGAAGAAGTTAAAAATGTGAAAAGTTTACAGACGGACGGACGACGGGTGATCAGAAAAGCTCACTTGAGCTTTCAGCTCAGGTGAGCTAAAACCATTTTGTTTGTGGATTAATTTTGCTCTGGTCTTTGAAATTTGCCAAAAAAAAATAAAAAAAATCCTTAATATCTGTACACAAACATTTCATTCAAAATACATGTACTTTTTTCAGAAGTACATGTAGATTAATAGAAGGGGAATATTTTGGTCCACATTTTGTACAATTTGTATACAGGTTATATTCAGAATCATGCCCAATCAAACTGCTAACATTGTCACAGAGGTAAAAGTCAACACAAAATACTTATTATGGTACACACACTCCACAATACTTCCGTTTCCTAAACACTATGAAGAATTATTCCAGTCTTGCATACAGATTATGAGAGCCAAACTCAAACATAAGCCATCCCCTTTTTTTTGCGGGAGACAGTAAATTTACGCATTTGTACACATGTAAGCATTATTTATATTTGTTACTGCTGCAGAGGTCATAGCTGGAAGCAAGGCATTTTCATCAAGTCATGGAGTAAATCAAAACAGGAGAAACATAACATGCACACTTTGGTAACATTTAAGCCGGGGTATCTTACCGATATTTGCTAGCTCGGGCAGGGTAAGACCGATAAGAACCTGCCCTTGCTGGCTCCCTGTAACTGAATTGTCACATGACATCAACAGACCAATCATATGCATAGCATCAAAATCATTAGGAAAGAAATATGAATATATATTGAAATGCCATGTAAGTCATGGTCTGATATCATCATCAGGGTAAAAGTATAGAAAGTGTTAACTATGATTAACAATTATATCAATAACATCAGAATATTTGGCAGTGATTTGTGCAAATTCGAGGAGGGGGCTAGAATCAACTGATTTGCTGTGTTAAGACTTTTCTATGTACCTTTTGCCTTTGATGGACTCCTCATGGAAGCGTGGAATAATGACCTCCTTCTGTGTTTCCTTATACACCTCCTTCTCCACAACTGGTTCCACACGACCTTTGACTTCTTGTTTCTTGCCACAGATAGCCCCACAAACACCTGAAATGAGATTTTCACCGATAAAATTCTGCATGTTTCCGACTGTTCCAAACTGAGGCAGTAAGAGGTGTGGCCTTTTGTGATTGACAGCTATGTCACTTACCATGTGTCAGACAGCAGATAATGATAATAATGATAAGCAGAAGTAGGAGAAGTAAGGCCAGGATGATTGCTGCAATTTCTCCCGTGGAGAGCCCCGAACTGACTGTAGAGGCCCCAGTGTTGCCAACAGCTGTAAAAGTAGACATATGAAAATATAAGAAACACACAAGCATCAATCAAAGGTCACAAAATATTTCACATCACTTGTCTCCCAAGTGTTGAAAATGAAAGAACAGCTTCTTTTTGAATAATCACTAAATGATTATTGCTTTTTTTAAATAAAAAATTAATTCTGTGGCGTAATTTGCAAATTATGAAGCTCAACACTCTTCCAAACTTCAACAAGTTGAATCAAACTTGATGTAGTGAGAAGCACACACAAGTACTCTGGTATTAGTTAAAGCAATGCTTAAAAGCTTTAGATGTGTAGCTTTGTCTAAACAATGACTATGATCATCTAATGGAGTTGACTTTTTTCCTTAAAACTATGCATAAAAATGGGGAATGTGGGAGCATTCTATTGCCAAGAAACAAATGAAAATGGAGACAACAAATATGATCAAGTATACTGGTGATACATGTACCAATGATTTCAGATATTTTCATCAACCTTCCTGAAAAACCATATATAGATCTATAAAAGTGAAATATCATAGAATGATTTTTGAATCATCAAGAACATTTTATATTGAGAATACTTGAATTCTGGATAATGGATTTGCGAGTATACCCTGAGACACAGTGAACAGAAGATCCCGAGATCCTATACTGTTGGTGGCTCTACACGTGTAATCTCCTTGGGAGTTGGTTCCACCGTAGCTAAAGGTATACTGTTGCTGAGAACCCACCAGCTGTGAGTTACGGTACCACTGGTAAGTGGCTGTTGGATTGGCATCCACAGAGCAGGTCAAGGTGACCTGGGAATTTACAGTAGCAGTCACTGTCTTCTCTGCTTCCCCTCTGACATCAACAGGAGCATCTACACAAAATAAGTAATGAGGAATTGTCAAATTACACACTTTTGATTTATTTCATTAAAATGGATATTAGTTATGAAAATATCTACGGTACATTTAATTTTGAGTAATAATTTTTTTTTCTCAAAACCCTTCAATTAACCACTGGCACTGTTATAAAACTTTTGTCTCCTATTAAAGCAACTTCAATGTCCAAGTATAATGTAGGAATAGGGAAATCAATTTTTTCAATGTAGGAGTAGGGAAATAATTTTTTTTCTTGTTTATTCATGCAATGAAAATTCAAGAATACTTACACTGGACATTGACATTAACCCCTGGACTATCCAATGTTCCCAGGGAATTAGTTGCTCGACAAACGTATGTTCCACCATTTGTCCGCAGGGCATTAGTAATTGTGTATGTAGTTCCTGTTCCAACCACTGTACTACCAGAACTACTACTACTGAAAATCCACGTAAAAGTTGGGCTTGGTTGACCTTGACCTGAACATTGCAAGGTCAAGGCCCCTCCTAGATTGACATTTCTGCTGGATGATCCTGCTATCTGAATATTGCTTGGCACAGCTGTAAAAGTAAAATAATTAAACACTACACAATGGTTGAGCATGAAAACTACATAAGGCCTTGTGTATGGGATCATTTCTTTTAATTATTTATTTATTTTTTGTAATCCTTCCAAAATTTGAGTGAAATATTTCCCATATTGCTCACAGCAAATTTTGAGACATTCAAAAAATCTAAAGGCATAAAAGTTGAAATAATCACTTAAATAAAAAAATCTTTTGACACTGACCCCCTGTGACTATAAGCACACTTCCTGTGTTACTCCTGGTTGTTCCTATTGCATTCCTGGCTGAGCAGTAGTATGTCCCTGCATCACCTGGCTGAAGGTCACTGATGGTAAGATCTGGGACAGATGGAGTAGAACCATTGAAGCGTCCCGTCACTGTGATGGAGGTGGTCACGCCTGAGCTAACTTTCTCCCATGTGACCTCCGTTACAGCGGGATTGGCATTAGTGATTGTGCAGGTGATGAAGGCTGTGCTCTTTTGTAGCACAGACTGACTGGGAGGATTGACAGTTACTGTGGCAGCATCTAAACAGGAAGCAGATATTATTTAAAATTGAGTCACATAGAACAACCAAAAGAATTTTCTTTCTTACTTACTACAAATTCTAAAGGTTTCAATGAACTCTGATTAAAGCTGTAAAATACCAAATCCAAGTAATTTTATGTTCTTGAAAAGCTGCTTTAAACACTTCATTTTTTTCAAATTTCACAGAATTTACAGTGATCAAGTTGACATAATCAATATGACTTAAGCTTACTGGAAATTGATTAGTATCTTTTGAGAATATGGTACATTTAACACACAACATATATTGTAAGTATAAAAAAATAAATCAGGCATAGAGTACTGAAATTTATAATAATGCTAGAAACATCAAGCTGTGAGAGGGGACATACATACATATTAGAGCATGGGACTGCATGTTAGATGAATTTTGAAAGCCTGGCGGTGACTTAATGAGTTGTATGTAATGTAGGATAAGATAATAGGACAAAGCCAAATGATGAATGTTAATGATGCTTCATATGATGTTTAAATTCACCCACAATATAAATACTCATATAATTGTAATCTATTGTATAAAATACTATTTAGGAAAGATAGTACAATCATATCAATTATTAAGTAAACATACTGTAATAAAATTTCAAATCAGAAAAAGTTGACAAATATACTAAAAGCTTATTATTATTTTTGTGTTAAACATTTCATGGCGCTTCATTTAGATAAATCAGAAACAATTATATTTAAATCAGTAAGCTGATTATACGTACAGTGTAGTTATTTACAATTTATATACATTGTAAAAGCATTTCACAACTTAAGCAGTATTTCAGTATTCATTATGTGTTGGTCAGACTACATACACATAACACATGTACTCACTGCCAGTGGCTTCTAAAAAAGCCTGTTCGCTGCGCCCCTCGCCGAATATGTTTGATGCTATACATGTGTAATAACCTTGGTCGGAAGCTGCTACCGACAAAATTGTGAGTGACGGCACTACCACAGTGCCGCCTTGATATTTTGTAGGATTTGAAGCAGTGCTTATGATTGTTCCTGAATCGCCTTGGTTGGCCCTAAATTCCCATAATACAGATGTCTCTTTTGGCAGAGCCTCAGTGACTACGCATGTGATGGTGATGTTTTGACGTTTTTGTATGGATAAAGATGTGTCTGGTATTGTTACATTAGGAATAACTACAAAAGGGTTTGTTAGTAAATATATAAAATGTATATATCTGGCATGCAGAGAAAAAAGCTTAAGAAATTTCAAAGTTTTGAAATAATTAAAGAGAACAAAATTTGCATATTTTTCCAGAATACTATACTAATACATATCCATGCTTTTGACAGATTTGCAAATCATATTTTAACAATAAATTGTTAGTAAGAATTGATTAGAAAAGAAAAAATCTGGAAACAATGTGCTCAAATTCATAGTGCAAGAAAAAATTCCCAAGATGATTCTTCCTCAATGCTTGAAATCACCAGAATTTTTCAACAGTGCCCATCACCACACTCAGACTTACTTCCAGTGATGGTTAAGGTAGCGGAATCTTCACCTGGCCCAACTATATTTGTAGCTCTGCAGGTGTAAGTGCCAGCATCTGTCAAGGCAGCTGAATTAACCGTTAGATTCGGGTTAGAGGTGCCACTGGCCAAGGTGTATTTGGTGCTGGACTGTGAAATGGTTATGGTGCTCCCACTGCTGGATCTGAATGTCCATTCTACAGAAGTGACGGGGGGATTTGCCGTCACAGAACATGGGATCTGTATGTCATCCCCAATTAAAACTGAGTAAGATCCTAAGGGAATGTTTGGAGCGGGCTGACCTGAAAATTGGACATGATTCCTTAACTCTATGTGGCTCCCACAACTTTGCCTATTTACTCTTTATAATTTGATTAAAACATTGAAATGATGGTTTGTATAATGATTTTTGGTATTTCCAGAAATGCTAAATTTATTTCATTTTCTGTAAAATATAATTTTTTAAAAATAAATGTTTATATACTTGAGTTAGTACAATGTGCAAAAGAAAAAAAAAGCAAAATAAAAAATATGGTGACAAAAAAAATTCTTGACATTAAAACATTTTAGCCAAATTACTTGTGCTCTAAAAAACAAATAACTGCAATACAAAGATGACATTTTCCCCCAAGACTTGCAGGATTTCACACAATTTCTTAAATAACCAGACATCCCAATGTACCACCCAGAATTTACTCACTTCCCAAAACATACAAATTAACAGTTGGACTATTGCTTAGTCCGACTGCATTTCTGGCATAGCAGTTGTACGCCCCCTCATCCACGTAATCCACGCGGTAGATAATGAGTGAGGGATCTGACAGAGTCACACCCCCATATCTATTTATATTAGTATTGCTAAATATATTTTGGGAGCCTAGTTGGTTCCTTCTTTGCCAGTACACAATAGTAGATGGAGGGTCAGCAATCACAGAGCAGGTCAAGGTCACATTATGCCCCAAACTAACCATGTATCTAGTGGATTCAATGGAAATGAAAGGAACCTCTGTTTCAAAAGAGGACCAAAATGGAAATTTAAGAAATAGAAGAAGAAAAAAGGTCATTTAACTGCATAGTCCAAAATTAGCATGCTTACTACAAGCTAGTGTAATAACCATGATAAGTTTGTTACTACTGGTAGCTCTATGAATGGTCTATAAATCTAGTTTGCAATACCCATGAATTATAGCATGAAGTACATTCAAAAATATTTCAAAACACTTTTCAATTATGGTCAAGGGTAGTGCAATCATCTATTTTAATACAGAACCAATCATAGACCTTGTTACATGATGTGCATGGAAAGGAAGATACTGGTACACATTGGGTATAAACAGGAGTATACATGCATTTTCTACATCGGAGTTGGTATTATGATAGAATCAGATGAGAAATATTTACCTGAAAAAGATGAAATATTATGAAATTATTAAGGATATAAGGTATGAATACATAATACATGCAGGTCTATAAAATACTAAAATATAATTAATATTAGAATACCTATCATACTGTGTTAAGGATTTTTATTTTTAACAGTCTTATTGCCCTATACTGAACCCCCCAATTGAAACTTAATCTGTGCATTTGGTATACTTTCACATAAGAAAGCTATATTGACAGTAAATACACTGTAGCTAATAAGCAGTACAATATGAATATGATATGTGCTTAACATGCGACATATACGGTACAGGGTTGCAAGTTTACTCACTGCCTGTGATAGTTAAAATAGTCACGCCACTTTCACTAGTGCCTGCAGCATTGGTTGCTAGGCAACTGTAATTGCCATTATCATGAACATCAAGGTTTGTAATGATTAAGTTCGGAGATTCAATGGTGCTGCCTGAGTATTTAGAAGATCCTGACACATCAATAGTGCCAGAACCACTTGGGGTAGTCTTCTTCCAGTAAACATTAAGTACAGGAGGGTCATTGGTGGTCACAGAAACAATGCATGCTAGGGAGACATTTGTTCCAATTACAGCTGAGTAGCTGCTTTGCTGTACAAAAACAGAGGGTTTGTCTAATGGAAGAAAATGGATGAAAATAAGAGGTTATCCCTGGATCAGAAAAGGAAATGGGTAACTAATGATAAATACCAGGTAACAAGGTTTTGAAAGTAAAGTGAAGTGAAATGGTGATATGCCATTGCACCTATATTTTCTTAATGTATTGCATGACATATTGATAAAATTAGCAATATTTGATAATATACTTGTACACCCGTGTTAATTTTTCTGTAGGAAAAAAAATCTGAAAATTACATCGAGAAAAGCTCCAAATTCAATCAAATTTATTCAACTATACAATCTTTTAAAAAATCTTGAAAAAAACTTTGACTTTTTAATCATTTTTTCAAAAAGTACTACCAGCAGAAGTTTCCTTTTAATGAAAAAGAAGTATTTTCATTGAAGAGCAGAAATCAATTTCAGAAATTGTGTAAGCAAAGTGATATGCATTAATTAAAGTTCCAAAAATACAATGTAGTACTGAGAGTGGAAAGATATCTGCCATGTCCAAAAGTAAGAAAATTGTATTCAGAAGCTAGAAGGCTTCTTCCTTCATACTGCTTATACTTCTACTTGACTTACCCCCTAGCACCTGCAAACTAGCAGTGTTTGGACTGACTCCACGCCCGACCTGGTTTGTGGCTGTGCAGCGGTACACCCCTGTATCGTTGAACACAAGGTTGACAATTGTCAGATCATAGTCTGTGATGCTGCTGCCATAATACTTGGATGACGGAGTAGGTATGCTTTGGTATACACCATTTACAAGCCTCTCCCATTGGACAGAAGAGATATTTGGAGTTGCAGATATTGAGCATCGTAGTGTGACATTCTGCCCATAGGTAATTTGATAGTTTGTTGTTGGTAGAGACACAACAGGTATACCTAGAATAAAAGTTCAGAATTGTCTAAAATTTAAAATAGGATGTCAAAAATATTTGAAGCAAAATTGATAATTATCTTCAAACCAGAAATTTACTCAAATAATCCTGTTCAATTTCTTGAACTTTATTCATACATAATATTACTTTAAAAAAAAAATTCCACATGATATATTGAAAAGAACAGCTTAATTATTTCAGTGTTATGTGACTATTGGTAAAAATTAATTGTATTAAAAGACTGTATATTAATAAATCTAGTTAATACTACATCATTATTATGCTAAAATGTCATTCATTAAAAGATAGATATCACTGGATTAATAATGAAATTTATAAACTAATAGCATGATGTCAAACTTTAAACAAACACCATAAAGCAATAGCAGCAAAGCTATAAAGCAAAAGCACCTAGATGTAAATATAATACATAAGAAATATTACTACATCATGTTCAACATAAGAAATCTAAATAAAAACATAAATAAAATATTCAAAAGGTCTTTTTAATGCATATAACACAGATTTTTGTACATAGATAAACTAAAACTAAGGGAGATAACTAGGGATTTAGGGGCTTGTGGAAGGCAAGAGGTCGATATATAAATCTCTCAAGTAACAAAGAAAGAGATGTAGACATTATTATATTAGTACTGCTGTGGAGCAGTGTATAGATATTTGTATAGAACGAGAGCTTCTGGCTGTATTTCAACTCACTTCCTGAGACAGTAAGACGGGCAGAATCAGTGCTTGTGTCTATGACATTCGTGGCTCTGCACTCGTAAACTCCGGCATCTGAACTGGCAGCCGAGTTCACAGTGAGATTGTAATAACTACCCCCAGTAGATACAGTGTACTTAACACTAGAGGTAGTGATTTGTATCCTATTATTAGAATTTGAGGTGAAGAACCAGGAAATCGATGTTGCACTTGGGGAAGCAGTAATTGTGCAGGGAATTGTGACAGAGTTGCCTATTACGACATTGTAATTGCTGCTGGAAATAGAAACAACTGGTCTGCCTGAAAAAAAAGAAAGTAATTGTATAATGGGGTTCACTTGAAGTAATATCCTTCTTATATTACAATAACTTGTCTATTATAATAGGTTAGATATAGAAGATATTTATTTATTAAAATCTTTAATATGGCAAAGTCTGCAATAAATCTTTGTGGCTTACTGCCTGTCACGGATAGGGAAGCTGTATCAGATGCTGTGCCAACTATGTTAGTAGCACTACACTGATAGGTTCCTGAATCAGTTGAACTAACTGACAGAATGGTCAGTTGTGGGAAATTCAAGGAGTTTGACAGTGTGTATTTGGAGGAGGAGGCACTGATGGTGACCTCTGACCCACTTCCTGATGTAAATTTCCACTGGACAGAAGTAGCGGCAGGAGATGCTGAGACAGTGCATGGTATCACCACATTACTTCCTGTTATGGCTGTGTAAGAAGTCTGAGTTATGTCTACCACTGGTCTACCTAAATCACAAAAACATATCAGCATTATTTAAATATGCCAATTATCTACACAAATACAATATTGACAGAGAATTAGAATGTTATTTCCTCAGATGAAAATAAACATATAGAAATTGGAGTTTAGCATGCAGTTAAGGATCAAACTCACTTACATTAATGTTAAACTTTTAATATTAAATATTATTGCACACAGTATATTGGTATATCAAGTATGTTTATATTCACAAATTTGGATGTTACAAATGTTAGAAATATTCCCACTAACTTCCAGTCACTGAGAGGGCTGCTTGATCTGAGGCGGTTCCCTCAGCATTGGTGGCACTACACCTGTATGTCCCACTATCAGCACTGGTGGTGCCACGGACAATGAGGGTCCTGTCAGTGGAGGAGGAAGACACAGTGTATTTGGAGGTAGACTGAGTAATTTGTGTTTGGGAGCTTGTGGAGGAGATGAAGGTCCAGGAGAATGAAGTGGCAGCTGGGTTGGCGGAGACTGAACAGGGTATGGTGGCGTCTTGTCCCTGTACAGCAGTGTACAAATTGTTGGGAATATTAACCGTAGGCAGACCTGTAAATCATTTCATGGTTAGGTTACAGCTTTATGGATAAAATCTCACCACAGAGAAAATCTCCCTTTTTGGATGGGTTATATTACTGGTAGAAAACAGAAGGTTTTGATGTGTAACATTAAATCAACCTACTTCCTGATACAGTAAGTGTAGCAGAGTCTGAGGCAGTTCCAATACTGTTAGTGGCGGTACAACGGTAAGTTCCTGAGTCTCCACTGTTGGTGGCCCTTACCACCAAGCTACTTCCTGTGGATGATGTGGTCACTGAGTAATCAGCTGTGGAGGTGGTAATCTGTGTCTGGGCATTATTGGTAGCAATAAATATCCAAGAGATGGTGGCACTAGGGTTGGCTGACACAACACAGGAGATGGATACATCTTGGCCAGAGATGGATGTGTAAGTGTTTTGTTGAATATTGACAGTGGGAAGGTCTGAAAAGTAAGCACTCTGTGTGCTGGCTTATCTAGTATAAAATTAGCTAAAAGCCAAAAAAACATTACAAGCACATTCACTGCAAATTGTTAGTAAATGCAACAAGCTTATTAAAAAGCTGAGGCCCAAATTTCTTAAACATTTGGAACAAATTACATTGAACAATGAAATATACATCTTTATTTCATTTCTCAAGCCAAAATAAAAAAAAAAAAACACTCAAAAGAAACAAAAATTAATTTAAAAAAAAAAACACCTCTTAAAAAATTCTATTATATTACTCTTTCTGCCAAACATTCTTTTTTAAAAAAAAAAAAAAAAAATACTTTTGACAATTTTTCTCAAGAGAATGCAACAAACGAATCTTGACAACTTAATTCTTTACAGTTTCAGCTTTGGGCCTCAGTAATGTTAATAATGTTACTAAATATACTTGCCATGCTGAACAGTTAGCATAAAAGGTCAGTATTTCTTTGACCCCACTGAAAGCTGTGAAAGCTAGAAATAACAAACTTACTTCCAGTTACATCCAAAAATGCTGAATCTGAGCCCAGTCCCACTTGGTTTGTAGCTCTACATGAGTATGTTCCCTCGTCACCATTGTCTACGGCTTGGACCGTCAATGTGGATTGTGATGTGGATGGTGTAACTATGGAGTAACCAGGTGTGGAGGAAGTGATAGTGATTGTGGATCCTGATGTGGAGGAGCGGAATGTCCACTCAATGGAGCTAGCTGTGGGATTGGCATTCACGAAACACACAATCTGCTGGTTTGAGCCAATGACTGCACTGTAGGTGGTCTGTGGGATTGTTACAGTGGGCAGACCTATACAAAATCAAAAATACCATAAATCTGGATAATTTCACTTTTCTAATTGCAAGTCCTTTCATTATAAATAGAATAAACATATCCATTATAAATAGGCAGATTAGCTCATATTTTTCATTTTTAAAGAATTTATTAACATTCATTCAGTAAAAATACCACTTTTAGTATAACATTCTAAATGTCTCCTTATCATTTTGGTTTAATAATGGGCATTTATGTACAATTTTAAAAAAGGAGAAAAGAACTCACTGCCAGAGACACTGAGTGTAGCTGAATCTGATGTTGTTCCAACAGCATTGGTTGCCCCACAACGATATGTGCCAGAGTCACTGCTGGTGGTTGATCGCACAATTAGATTACCATTTGTAGAGGATGGGTTGAATGTGTACTTTGATGTAGAGGTGCTAATTTGTGTCTGAGACTGAGAGGTTGAGATAAAAGTCCAGAATATTGTTGCAGTGGGGCTGGCAGATACTGAGCAAGGAATAGTGACATCCTGCCCAGTTACTGCAGAGTAAGAATTCTGAGGAATATTCACTGATGGCAAACCTGTGAATGACAAATATAAAACATTCAAGTCTGTTAGCAGAGAAATATGAGAAAAATACTTGAATGAAGAATGCTATGGTACAAGATATTTGCTGGGAAGTGAACTCAGTTACAGACAGCAACGATTCAGATCATTAAAGTAATACTATGAGATTGTCTACGGAATAATTCAATTGTGGCATATATCTTAATATCTTCAGAGGGATTACCATTTTTATAAAAATTTATTGAATTTTTCCATTGAAAGTTTCATTATGCATACATGTATTTAGACTGAACTTGAAATAATGTTCTGTATGTACAAAACTAAACAAAAGCTCAAAATACATTGTTAAAATACCTGAATAGATGCTGTAATTATTAAAGTTCACTTCACTGCATGTGTCCATGATAGTCAATCCTCAATACAGAAAAATACTTCCTAAGTAAAATAATAAGAACAAGCAACTAGAATCCAGAAATAACTTACTTCCAGAGACAGAGAGAGAAACACTTGCTGATCTGGTTCCCACTGAATTGGTGGCTGTACATGTGTATGTACCTCCATCATTGCTCTGGGCAGACAGAACTGTTAATGTGGATTGTGTCAGAGAGGATGAAGTAACAATGCTGTATCCTGAAGTTGAGGGGGTGATGGTGAGGGACCCACCCCCAGAGGCTGACTGGAATGTCCAAGTAATACCACTAGCTGCTGGAGTTGCACTCACAAAACACAACAGCTGTACATTATTTCCTGTGATCACAGTGTAGGATTGGGATCCAAAACTAACTGATGGTACACCTGTGAGAGTGAATCAAAGACTTGTATATTTACTCCAGAGATATTTCTCTTTAGCCATTAAAGTTGGTTTTTATCAATTACAGTCAAACCTGTCAAAGCAAACACCTGTATTTAGTGACTTCTTGTCATATGCTACCATTAAATTTCCTCCCAATAACTTTTCATTACATTCTATCTGCATTCAGCAACTCCCTGTCTAACCTGACAAATACCATCACTTTTCATCTCAAAATAGTTTATCACCCTGAATTTAGCTACTTTCAACCCTTCTTTTGATAATAAAAGTAATCAAATGCTTACTTTTGTTTTTTTACCCTTGCTCCCACTTTGCAGAAAGATGCTTGCATACACATACTCATTAATGGAATATTTCACAGTGTGTGACTTGGTTTTTTCCAATGAAAACTAATTGATAAATGAAAAATTTCAAAAGTAATGATGATTAAATTTAATTTTTTTTTGGTATGAGTTTAAAATTTGTGTGTGTTTGTGCATAAAGAGGATCTTGAGTTTTCTCTGTAAGGCCATTCCAAGTTTTTTCTATGTTTAGCGTCCGCGTGCGCCTTGGTTTTTGATACCCCATATCAGAAAAAACAAACAAAATCAGGAGTCCTGAAATTGAATATTCTGGTCGAAATTACTGAATTCTGTCAATTTCTCAAGATATTTGTCTACAATATGTCATATTAGGAACATTGTAAACACTGAATACCTTGATTTTGCTGAAGAATAGTTTTTTCTCCGAGAAAAATAGATTAATGAAATCAAATCCTTTGAATGACATCATTTTTATGACCATAAGTCTGTGTTTTATTTTTTGATTTGTGTGTTTTTTGCAAATAGGTAGGTAGGTTTTTGAAAGATGGGTGGACGCTAAACAGAGAAAAAACTTGGAATGGCCTAATTATTAAAGTTTGGTGTTTCTTTTCGAGCATGATCTTGTCACAGTAATTTTTGATCCTTTAAACTGTTGTAAATGTGTGAACATGCATGAATAAAAGGAACCTGTTTTTGATTTTCTTTCAAAAATAGTCACTTGAGAATAAGAACAGAGTTTACAAATATTTATTAAATATATTTTATTTATCAAGAAGAAAGAAAATGATTAAAGGACTTGGAAAAGTAAAAGTATTACTATTTGGTATTTATGAATTCAATGTGCTTTGAAAATTGCATGCTCCGATATGATTCCCTGATTTAACAGACTACATGTCATATGTGACTATTTTAGAATTTCCATTGACAGGTTGATTAATCCAGGTTTGACTGTATTATTACAAACAATGTAATACATTTTTTTTTACTCACTGCCAGAGACACTGAGTGTGGCTGAATCTGATGTTGTTCCAACAGCATTGGTTGCCCCACAACGATACCTGCCGGAGTCACTGCTGGTGGTTGATCGCACAATTAGATTACCATTTGTAGAGGATGGGTTGAATGTGTACTTTGATGTAGAGGTGCTAATTTGTGTCTGAGACTGAGAGGTTGAGATAAAAGTCCAGAATATTGTTGCAGTGGGGCTGGCAGATACTGAGCAAGGAATAGTGACATCCTGCCCAGTTACTGCAGAGTAAGAATTCTGAGGAATATTCACTGATGGCAAACCTGTGAATGACAAAAATAGATCATTGTTTCAAATTTATTTCACACCTAGAAAAACATCTACAGCATGCAACTTGATGAGCCTTTAATAGCAAAATTTTCACAGCCATTTTCCAAATCCAATAGTCAGGTTCTCTTTGCAAGAAATAGAACATTTCTTCAAATTTGTTCCTGATTCAGAGTTTAAAGTTTACTAAATTTTTTAAGACTAACATTTGCCATGAACATATAAGCTCAGAAAATAACAAGAGGCCCATGGGCCACATCGCTCACCTGAGCATATTGGCTAGGGAAAAAAAGCAAAAATCAGTTCAGTATTGAAAAGTTTACCGGGGGGTTGGGGGGGTTGAATTTTAAACTACCTGATGATGCTTTTATATCAATATAACAAATGGCTTTGCTGTTCTTGAGCAGAAGATTTTTTCCCATATTTTCATTTGTAAAAATTTGATCCCCCATTGAGGCCCCACCCTACCCCCAGGGGCCCTCATTTAAACAAATTTCATTCTACACTACCCAAGGATGCCTCCATATCAATAATCAATTTGACTAATCATGGCTTTTCTGTTCTTGAGAAAAAGATTTTTTCCTATATATTCCTTTGTAAATTTGATCACCCATTGTGGTCCCACCCTACCTCCGGGGGTCATGATTTGAACAAACTTGAATCTACACTACCTGAGGATGCTTCCATATAAATATGACCAATCATGGCTTAGCTGTTCTTAAGAAGAAGATATTTAAAGATATTTTCCTATATATTTCTATGTAAAACTTTGATCCTTTATTGTGGCCCACTCTACCCCCGGGGGTCATGATTTGTACAAACTTGAATCTACACTACCTGAGGATGCTTCCATATAAATATGACCAATCATGGCTTTGCTGTTCTTAAGAAGAAGATTTTTAAAGATATTCTCCTATATATTTCTATGTAAAACTTGGATCCCCCATTGTGGCCCCATCCTACCCCCAGGGGTCATGATTTGAACAAACTTGAATCTACACTACCTGAGGATGCTTCCATATAAATATGACCAATCATGGCTTTGCTGTTCTTAAGAAAAAGATTTTTAAAGATATTCTCCTATATATTTCTATGTAAAACTTTGATCCCCCATTGTGGCCCCACCCTACCCCCGGGGGTCATGATTTGAACAAACTTGAATCTACACTACCTGAGGATGTTTCCACATAAGTTTCATCTTTCCTGGCCCAGTGGTTCTTGAGAAGAAGATTTTTAAATGATGCCATTATTTTTTCACTAATTCCTAATTATCTCCCCTTGAAAGAGACCGTGGCCCTTCATTTGAACAAACTTGAATCCCTTTCACCCAAGGATACTTTGTGGCAAGTTTGGTTGAATTTGGCCTCGTGGTTCTTGAGAAGAAGTCAAAAATGTGAAAAGTTTACAGACAGACAGACAGACGGACGGATGGACGGACAGACAGACAGACAGACGGACAAAATGTGATCAGAAAAGCTCACTTGAGCCTTCGGCTTGAGCCCACATAACTATAGAATTTAAAATAACCAAATGCTGTTGAAAAACAAGATACAACATATCAGAAAGAACATCCTGTAAATGTTTTATTAATAAAGGTAGTATGAATTTCCATTTTGTGTTCAAGCAATACAAGATGGTATGTGCAATGCAGAAATTGTAGCAGCTAAACTATCTCCCATGCTCTTAAGCAAGGCTTCTTGCTCTTCTCAAATTGACAAACATTGGGACGTAAACGAAATTAATATTCAACCATAAGGGCTTCTTTGCCTAAGAATATGATATGATGTGAAGGGAAATCCAGTGAAAAGCTGCTTTGATATTTTTCTGTACTTCTGATTCCATACAAAGTATTTTTTTTTTTAAAATGACAACTTTTATAAGTTCACTGTATAAACAGTGAATCAAACTTGTGTATCACCCAATCTTGTTTTTGAATTGTGCTGAATTTTCTGTTTCATTGACAAATACTGGTATTTCTCACAAGTAATTTAAAGTTGGTTTTTCTGTCCTTAATGATGAGGAGCAATAAATGATTGTATTAATTTTATCACTCACTTCCAGTAACAGAGAGGGTGGCCACATCTGAAGATGTTCCAACAGCATTGGTTGCCTGGCAACGATATGTGCCGGAGTCAGTGCTGGTGGTGGATCTCACAATTAGGTTACCATTTGTAGAGGATGGGTTGAATGTGTACTTGGATGTAGAGGTGCTAATTTGTGTCTGAGACTGGGAAGTTGAGATAAATGTCCAGGTAATTGATGCAGTGGGGTTAGCAGATACTGAGCAAGGAATAGTGACATCCTGCCCAGTTACTGCAGAGTAAGAATTCTGAGGAATATTCACTGATGGTAGACCTGTAATGACAAGAATAGATCATTGTTTAAAATGAACTGCTTACCATAAAAAGTAAACATAAACTAGAAACTCATTGCGAGCAATGAGAGGTCTTCCGTCCGATTTTGAAAATAAAAATGTAAATTCAAGCTGAAAAAGTGACACTCTGGAGATTTAACCCTGGTCGTCAGCGTGAGAATCCAATGTGCTAATCATTACGCCATTTCAACTCCCACTTCAAAGTGAAATTGACAAATATCAAGAGTTTGGATTTATCAATTCGAAAACAAATTATATATTTAGTATTTTGAAAGGAGGCTCTCTTAACCCTACAAATAATACAGAAAAATATTGAAGTTGAAAAATTTGATTTTTTAAATTCACTTCCGGAAGCGACCCGAACTAACGACGACGCATGAAAAGGTCCCTTCGCCAATCTAGAAATCATGTTCTATCATCTCTAACAAAAACAAAACAAAACAAAAAAAAAAAAAACACTCAACATCATTTATAAAGTTGAAAACGTAAATTTAAGCAAACAAATTCGGGATTAAACCCAGATCGCCTTCGTGATATTCAATATGGAAGACACTACACCAGCGCAATTTTACCAGCCATCATCAATGTTTATTTTGTATCATTGTCTGAAGTAACGAGCGTCAGGGAGGTTAAAAGTTTTTTTATATAATGCGGAATTATAAAATGAGAGCTAGCTAGCCAAATTTTGTGCAAGCAGATTCACATCGGAATTTGTTACTTGAGTTTAAACAATAACAAATAATCTATTACTGATGAACTGATGATACTGTTTACTTCCTTTATTCTTTGTGTATTCAACTTTTTTATTCCATGCAATTCCATATTACCTGTATTTTATACAAACGTATCCGTCTAATCTTTTTCTGCACTTCTACAACAAAACATTTTTCTACTATGAACGAAGAGTCACGATACATTACGTCACGAGTAAATCTTCGCGCCTTTTCTTTGAAATGTATGTTCTATTGAATGGTCTCCATTCTCATATATATTATTGTATGTACCGTGCAAATTACTCATTTTATTGCATTTGGAGGTCAGATTATTTATGTTTTCAATGACAGATTATCCATTTCATAACCTGAAAGATCCAACAATTCATTCATATTTCATTGATCCTTATGGTAGTTTCGTTCAACAAGACGCTCGGATGTCTCCGTAAACTCCAACCTGCCAATCGGCAATCCTCGACTGACTCCGCTACGCTCCATACAAACCTCGGAAGTGATTGGTGGAGAAATATGCATCATATCGATTACATTTCTCCGCCGGAAACTGCCTTGTAACTCATTTTCTATTTTACTTTGCATAACGTTCTTCAAACATTTTTTTCTCTTGTCTAATTCTTCCTTGGATCACAGCATCATGTAAGTAGTCTTTGAAAGCAAAACATAGTGTTGGGCATGCTTGAAACTAACTTCAAAGGTATAACATTTGGAGGAATTTCATATAAGATCACATGACTGTATCAGCAACATGGTATAACACCATTGACGTCCGAAGTTAGTGTGCGAGGAACGATCCAACCGAGGATCTCCGAGTGCCGACCTGCTCGTCGGAGTTTGCGAAGACAGCCGCCATTTTGGACCCGCTTCAAATTTTAAAATGCGAATATCTAGAGTTTGGATTTATCAATTTTTAAACAAATTATATATTAAGCCTTTTTGGAAAGGCATCTATTAACCCTACTAATATAAAAGAAAAATATTGAAGAACAAAAAAGTTAGAAAATTCGAATTTTTAAATTCGCATCCAGTAACGACCGGAAGTACCGACGACGAACGAAAAGTCACGTCCCGGCTAGAATTTATCATGATCTATAATTCCTAAAAGTTTCACATTGATATCTTTAGCCGTTCTTGAGATTATCCCTGGACAAAATTTCATTTTAAAATCAGGAAATGGTCCATAACTTGGCACCGGATGTGATTAATGGAATTTACTCTCGGATAAAATAAATTCAGCCTACGACACGTTTTCCCTGCAAATTTCATGCCAATCCACCCAATAGTCTCCGAGAAATCGCGTGCACAAAATTAGAAAGTCAAAAAAATAATAATAAGAATAATAATAATAATAAGAAACAGTAGAATCACTATAAGGTCTTCCGTGAAGACGGAAGACCTTAATAAATCAGCCTACAACTTGATGTGCTCTTTGACAGTATACTTCAAAACACATTTCTTAGCTGAATCAAATTCTGTTTGAAACCATCTTGAATTTGAATAGATCTCTATTGCTGTGAAAAGTAAATAACCCTAACAAATTCTCTGAAGAACACAAAAAATGAAAATACATGTACTAGACTTTTTCTCAAAGACTTAAAAATGAAAAGGTATACACATGTATTTATCAGCTAATTAAGTCGACTGCGGAAAGAAACATCTATTCCCTGAGTAAAATAAGTCAATATTAAATGGGTCAAAGTAAAAGTAACTTACTTCCAGAGACGGAGAGAGAAACACTGGCTGATCTGGTTCCCACTGAATTGGTGGCTGTACATGTGTATGTACCTCCATCATTGCTCTGGGCAGACAGAACTGTTAATGTGGATTGTGTCAGAGAGGATGAAGTAACAATGCTGTATCCTGAAGTTGAAGGGGTGATGGTGAGGGACCCACCCCCAGAGGCTGACTGGAATGTCCAAGAGATACCACTAGCTGCTGGAGTGGCACTCACAAAACAGGACAGTTGTACATTATTTCCTGTGATCACAGTGTAGGACTGGGATCCAAAACTGACTGATGGTGCACCTTAAAGGATCATTAAACTTGTATGTAACCTCAACTGCTGAGTTAATCAGGTGTGGTTTTCATAAATGCATATGGAATTTAAGAACAGAATTCTTGTCAGATTAAGATGTTTTTTGGTTTCATTTATGCCATTCATCTAGATTTTGTTTTCATCTAAAAAAATTATAGTTGTAATGAAATCTTATAAACTAAAAGTTTAACTCACTTCCAGTAACTGAGAGAGTTGCTACATCTGATGATGTCCCAACACTATTGGTTGCCTGGCACCGGTACGTGCCTGAATCACTGCTGGTGGTGGATCTCACAATCAGAGTACCATCAGTGGAAGATGGGTTGAACGTGTACTTTGTAGTAGAGACACTAATTTGTGTCTGAGACTGGGAAGTTGAGATAAAGATCCAGCTAATTGATGCAGTGGGGCTAGCAGATACCGAGCAGGGGATTGCGGCATCCTGCCCAGTTACAACACTATATGAATTTTGGGGAATATTTACCAAGGGCAAACCTAGAGAAAACAAAATGGTGTCCAGTGATGCTAAAGGGGAGATGTGGGCCTTTTACATCAACTTTGTCATGGGAGAAAATGTTTCCTCAAAACCATGGGAGTCAATGAAAGACTACATAGCCTTGGCTGCTAATAGCATGCATAACAGAAAAAAAGTGTAAAGGAAAAGTTTGTTTTAGGAAAATCTAATAACAAAACGTGTCAATCATTAACTATTATGAAAAATGATCTATATTTTTTTAAAAACAATGTGCAAGAAAATCAATTACAAATTAACACAGATTAAAGTGATAAAAGGGGGACTGCTGGGATTGTCAAATGGATTTTGATTTTTTGAAAACATTTTTGAAGGAACACTTGAAAGTTTAAAAGAAAAAAATCAACTACAAAACTATGTTATTAAAATTACATCATGAAAAAAGCACATGAAAAGCCTTTTAATTGCAATCCCTCTAAAACACACTGCAAAAATAGTTCACTAATTGAAAGCATGCTTAAATTCAACCAAATTCCACCAGGTTAAACCATGAAACTCACAAATGTGAAAAAGACTGCAAAAGTTAGGCAGTTTAGACCAATCAAAAGCATATTAAATCTGAAGCTTCAACAAGCCACTTACTTCCTGACACAGTGAGTGTTGTGTTGGCAGATCTGGTTCCCACTTGATTGGTGGCCTGACACCTGTATACACCTTGATCAGAACTGGCTGAATTCCTCACAGTCAAAGTAGAAGAAGTTCCAGAGGTACCACTGATGCCGTATTTTGATGAAGATGAGATGGAAACAAAGGAATTACTGGAAGCTGACTGGAACTGCCATGTAATGGAGGTGACGGCGGGATTGGCCGACACCGAGCATATCATATTTATACTACTTCCTGTTATAACTGAGTATGTGGACTGCATGTTTACAGAGGGGTAACCTAAAATTAAATCAAAATCATGCTTTTAATTTTAATAGAAATGTATGGTTTCTACACAATATTGTATATATCTGTACTAGTCATATCTTTGATGTTATTTTATCAAGAATAATCCCACCCCAAATTCAAAGCAAAGTAAAAACAGATATAAGTACATGTAGTACAGAAAATCAAAAGTACAATGAGAAAGATAAAAAAAATGTGCACAGTTCACTCATGAACTGTTTACTCCCTAAGAAAGGACAAGATAGACCAAGGACCTTTTTTTGCTCTTACTTTGGGATGTCTATTAAAATGATGCAATAATTCATACTGGTAATCAAAAACCTGTTACCATACCTGCTTCTAAATGAGATTAATGTTAGTGGTAGCATACTTATAGGTCACAAATTTTGTCATTTTCTGAATTTTCTCATATTTTCATGATTTTTTTTTCAGAAATAGAGTGCAAGCTAGCCTACCTACCAAAAGTACATATTTCATGCACTAATATTCAATACATATTGTGTATAAAATTCTCAGATGTCAGATGTAAGATGTTTAAATTTATCAAACTTTTGATGTTCTGATGACGACTGCCTCTGGTCGAAACAGGTCAATAACTTAAATTAACTGCTGCATTCTCATGAAGTGTTGGTGATCTGTTTTATATCTTTAAGTTATCACCATTTTGTGTACATTTGAATCAGACTCAATCCCCAAATTTCGAACAAGGCATTATTTAAGTTTTTTATTTACAAACTTTCACAATTTTAACTGTTCTAATTTTTTGTCAAACAAGAGGGCTAAATTTAGACATTACCATACCATGTCCTTTCATTCAAACATTAAACATCTACCGGTATACTGCCATATCAAAACATTTCTGTCAATCAAAATATCTCATTTTACAAAATAATGTAATTAATGTCTTACTTCCTGTGACAGTCAGTGTAGCTGTGGCTTGTCTGGTTCCCACTGCATTGGAAGCTGAACAGACATAGCTTCCCTGGTCATTGCTGTTCGCCGTCCTGACCGTCAGTGAGGAGGACGTAGTAGAAGAAGAGTAGGTGTATTTAGATGATGATGAAGAGATTGTTGTTGTTCCACCAGAATTTGCTGTGAAGATCCATGTAATTGTAGCTGCTGGATTGGCTGACACAGAACAAGTCATGGTTACGTCTCCATTGGTAATCACACTGTAAATAGATTGTGCCACAGAAACACTGGGAACAGCTGAAAAGATAAATAAAAGTACTATGAATGAACATATTCAAAACTTTTGATTTCTAGGTAAATTCCTGCTTTATACTACCGAGTACATGTAGTATTATTGTCAGGTTGAATTTTGATGAATAGTTAAATCTCTTACATTTCAGCAGATAAAAAACATATTTATAATCACAGTAAAACTGCTATATATACATTCATTTCACTTTATATATATCAGAGAGAAAGGCCAATTTTCTTATAACTAGTTTTGTGAAAGCAATTTCTAATCAAAATACATTACTTGAAAAGTGACAAGCAAAGCAAACTGAAAAGCAAACTGCAGCTAAAAACTAATAAAAGTGAAGTCTAAGCGATAGGAAAATACTTGAGATTTGGAATGTAGTCTTCCAAAATCTAAGCTAGCCACTAATGAACACTCACATCCAACCACTGTTAAAAAGGTAGAATCACTGGTGCTTGTGCCAATAGAATTAGTTGCCAAGCAACGATAAAATCCCTGATCAGTGGTTTCTGTGTTTGCTATAGTTAGGCCAGGAGTAGAGACTGTTCCTCCTGAATATTTAGGAGCCACGAGAGATATGGAGGTAGGGATTCCAGTCTGAGATACAAGCTCCCAGAACACACTGGTCACGCTTGGATTGGCGGTTATGGTGCAAGGAATTGTTACACTGTCACCGAAATTGACAGAGTAAGAACTTAGGGGAATTCTCACACTTGGCAAACCTGTGGTGAAAACAGCAAAAATGCCATGCAAGTAAAAAACATAAGCAGTGTAAGTGGTAGTGTTAGTTTCATTTTAGTGCATTGCACCCATTGGTTAATTATCCATTCAGCATTTAAAAGCAGGGGAAAAAAGTTTGTTTAAAACAAAGGTGCTCCATACAATTGGGTCTATTTTGTTTTATTTCTAGTGTCTGGAAAAAAAGACAACTCCTTAAAGATTTTTCCAGCACATCAAAATTTTACATCTGGGCTGGTTTCCATGTCAACTGCATTTAATGCTTAAATCCCTTTGTCACTGTCCAGTATACTATTTTTGGTAGCATTGGGAGTGGCTAATGACTTTCCACTATATTTTGATGAAGACTTTATCATTGAGGGCTCTTAGGAGAGTTAGCTTCCCTGTGCTATTTGACTGGTGTAGCTCTACAATTGATAGATATTGTGCAGGAGATTGTCACCGAGTTAGAAGTTTGTAAAGAGTAGGCAGACTGGGGAACACTGCAGAGGGGACATTCAGAAAATCACAGGTTTTATACTAATTCAAAATATTTCTAAAAAACTACATGCTAAACACTAGAGAAACCTACATCAGAAAACTTCAAGTATAATGCTACATGTATATTGAATATTTTCTAGTTTTTAATTGGTAATTCATGATTTTGGGTACCACTATACTTTGTAACATATAGCCACTACTCGGTGAATCTAAATCAAACACATTAGTGCTAAGCAAACACTGTTCTACTGCTACACATGCTAGTGACAACAACATGCATACTAGTACATGTACATTTAAAGTATAAATATGCATTAACATCTATAAAATGAATTGCAACAAAAGCTTAAAACATTGCATAAACATTAAACTAGAAATATGTCCATAGGACATGAATGCCCCACCGAGGGCATATTAGTAATGCAACATGAAAATTTTTATTAGTGTATGAAATTGATGAGAATATCTTGAATAGTTTCTTTAAAATTGAAATTGAAATCTAAAAAGTTGGATATAGATGATAAATTCTCGCCAAATTATGTATAAGTGCATAAACTTTTGCAAAATGCAAATCTAAGAAAAGTCAAGGTCACAGGAAAGTTCAAGGTCAAATGTTTTTGATGCAGTTGAATACTTCTCACAAATACATATCAGCATATTGATAAAAATATTTTGAATGGTTTATTTAAAAGTGAGCTAAACACAAATTTAAAATAAATGATGTTAAGGTCAAAGGAAATGTCAAGGTAAAAAAATGTTGATGCAGTTGAATAGCTTACATCAGTATGTACCAGCATATGAAGTTTGACACTAATTTAAGAAAAGTGAGGTCAAGGTCAAAGGAAAGGTCAAGGTCAAAAAATATTGATGCAGTTGAAAAGCCCTCATCAGTATGTATCAGCATATGAAGTTTGATAAAAATATCTTGAATGATTTCATTAAAACTGAGCTAAACACTAATTTAAGAAAAGTGAGGTCAAGGTCAAATGAAAGGTCAGGGTCAAACAAAGTTGATGCAGTTGAATAACTGACATCAGTATGTATCAACATATGAAGTTTGATTACACTACCTTGAATGATATCTTTAAAACTGACATAAACACTAATTTAAGAAAAGTGAGGTCAAGGTCAAATGAAAGGTCAAGGTCAAAAAATGTTGATGCAGTTGAATAACTGACATCAGTATGTATCAACATATGAAGTTTGATTACACTACCTTGAATGATATCTTTAAAACTGACATAAACACTAATTTAAGAAAAGTGAGGTCAAGGTCAAATGAAAGGTCAAGGTCAAAAAATGTTGATGCAGTTGAATAACTGACATCAGTATGTATCAACATATGAAGTTTGATTATACTACCTTGAATGATATCTTTAAAACTGACATAAACACTAATTTAAGAAAAGTGAGGTCAAGGTCAAATGAAAGGTCAAGGTCAAAAAATGTTGATGCAGTTGCATAGCTCTCATCAATATCTATCAGCATATGAAGTTTGATAAAAATATCTTGGATAGTTTCTTTGAAACTGAGCTTTGAACAGAGCTAAATGCAAAGTGTGACGGAAGGATAGACGGAAGGACGGAAGACGGACATGACAAACACTATATGCCCCGGCCATATTCATGGCAGGGCATAAAAAATATTGCTTTAAAAGTAACACAAACAAAGCAAGTACATAAGACATAATACTAGCATCACTTACTTCCAGACACGGTGAGGGTAATACCAGAGCCATCTGATGTTCCAGCAGAGTTCTGTGCCTTGCAGATGAACACGCCAGAGTCACCCTGCTGAGCATTAGTCAAGGTCAAAGATGGAATGTTGATATTTCCATTACTAAAGCGACTTCCTCCAGAAGTCAAAACATTCTGAGTAATGCCATTCCTGGTCACGGTCCAAAAAACATTGGTCACGGGTGGGTTCCCCGACACACTGCAGGCCAAGGTCACATTGGACCCAACAAAAACATTGTAGGACGTCTGAGTGACAGTTATACTTGGCACATCTGCAATCAGAAGTTTATGATGGGGATGCAGCATGATGAGGGATTAGGCAAAGCATATGTTATATCTATATGGCTGATCACAGCATGAACAAAACTTGAATGTGTCAAACATATAAGAAAAATCTTTTTTGAGTCAATTTCAAAGCAATTTCAATTCCAATGCTGGTGGAATCTCCTTTTGAAAACTGCATTGAAAAGTTTACATTTTAGGAATTGAGCATTGCACTCATTGCACTATTACAAGTTTTATTCATTTTGCAAGCAAAGTATATGAAATGCCAGCAACAATGACAACTTGGTACATGAATGAACACAATAAACACTGAACATACACATAACAAAAAAGTATATGCATTAAAATAGACCACTGCTTTATTGCAACGTGTGGACATTGGATTAGTCATGCCAAACATTGGTTACTATGACACACTGCAACCACATGGCACTTACCACCTATCACATCCAGGAGGGCCGTATTACTACTTCCTGTGCCCACAATATTACTAGCCGCGCAAACATAGTTCCCTTCATCTGTTAAATCAGTGCTACTTATCGTCAAGTTTGGGTTTGACAGAGTAGCCCCTGAGTATTTGCTTGGTTGAGCAGCTGGGTCAAGTGTAACACTGACCCCATTACTTGTTTTGACCCATGACACATTGGTCGCCATGGGAATGGCCGTGACATTACATGGGATAGTGATGGGATTTCCAAAATTTACACTGTATGTGCTTTGTGGGATGGAGACTGATGGAACGCCTAAAGTGTAATGATTCACAGTCAACAAAAAAGATAAAAAAATGTTTGAATGAGTGATAAAATACACACACAAACTGAAGCTTTAAATAATTAGCAAAAGTCTTTTTCTCTTCTTTATTTTGTTTTTAAATCTTGATTAGCATTTTACACATTATTTTGCAAACAAATAAATAAAAAAAAGAGAAAACTAGAAATATGTCCATAGGACATGAATGCCCCGCCGAGGGTATATTAGTAATGCAACATTTTAACACAAATTGAGAAAAGTGAGGTCAAGGTCAAAGGAAAGGTAAAGGTCAAAAAACATTGATGCAGTTGAATAGCTCTCATCGGTATGTATCAGCATATGAAGTTTGACACTAATTTAAGAAAAGTGAGGTCAAGGTCAGAGGAAAGGTCAAGGTCAAAAAATGTTGATGCAGTTGAAAAGGTTACATCAGTATGTATAAGCATATGAAGTTTGATGAAAATATTATGAAAGGTTTCTTTAGAAATGAGCTAAACACTAATTTAAGAAAAGTGATGTCAAGGTCAAAGAAAAGGTCAAGGTCAAAATATATTGATGCAGTTGAATAGCTCTTATCGGTATGTATCACCATATGAAGTTTGACACTAATTTAAGAAAAGTGAGGTCAAGGTCAGAGGAAAGGTCAAGGTCAAAAAATGTTGATGCAGTTGAAAAGGTTACATCAGTATGTATCAGGATATGAAGTTTGTTAAAAATATCTTGAATGGTTTCATTAAAACTGAGCTTAACACTAATTTAAGGAAAGTGAGGTCAAGGTCAAAAGAAAGGTCAAGGTCAAAAAAATGTTGATGCAATTGAATAGCATACATCAGTATGTATCAACATATGAAGTTTGATTACACTATCTTGAATGGTATCTTTAAAACTGAGCTAAACACTAATTTAAGAAAAGTGAGGTCAAGGTCAAAGGAAAGGTCAAGGTCAAAAAATGTTGATGCAGTTGCATAGCCCTCATCAATATCTATCAGCATATGAAGTTTGATAAAAATATCTTGGATAGTTTCTTTGAAACTGAGCTTTGAACAGAGCTAAACGCAAAGTGTGACGGAAGGACAGACGGAAGGACAGAAGGACGGAAGGACGGAAGACGGACATGACAAACACTATATGCCCCGGCCATATTCATGGCGGGGCATAAAAAATAAAACTATTTGAATATATCTTTGTATTTGGTTATTTCATTATGATAAACTATGAACATGCATCTATTCCATGACATGCCTTGTTAACAGCATGCAGAGCCACAACAAAAGGCACTTCACTCTGAAATCTGTACAACCAAGACATCAATATTATATTGATAAGGAAAAGATGGTATAATAAGAAATCAGAAATCCCACAGAGATTCCACAAGTCTTTTAGTATAAACTGTCAATCAAGAAAACATTTCTCAATGACCATGCCCAGTATGGAGTGATATGAAGAGATGAGTTAATCATATGCAATACTGTATCATGGGATTTTGTTTATATCGAGTTATGGGTACAGCTTGTATTTATATAAATATAATTTTATCTTCCAATTCCATAACTATTCCTTTTAAACATGATTTAAGAAGATTTTAAAATTAAATTTTCAATCAAATGCAAAACACAGTCATACCATTTACTATTACTTTAAATCATTACCTATCTGCATGTATTCTGAAATATTCCTAAGTATACAATTTAACTCGGTATTGCTTTTATCACTACCTATCCATTACATTACGGGATGAAATGAATGGCAAATGAGATGAGTCTGAAAGTTATTTTTTTTTTTTTAAATTGAACTCCATCCACTCCATAAACCAAAAATTCTCAGTCTCCAAATGCTGCAATCACTGCAGTCATCATACTCACTGCCATTAACAAAGAGAAAAATTGGTTGGCTGGTTGATGTGCCGACCTGGTTGGTCACCGAGCAAGTGTAGACACCAGCATCAGAGAGAAGTGTGGAATGAATAGTGAGGTACGGGGCAACAATGGTCCCGCCTCCGTAGCGAGAATCAAGAACATTAATGTTGGAGGACTGAGCATTTAATATACGCTGCCATGTGATGGTACTCGGAGAGGGGGAGGAATTATAGTCGCAGGCTAAAGTGACAGGATCTCCCACCATCACAGTGTAGGATGTATTACTTAAAGTGACAGAAGGCAAATCTAGTTAAAAGAAAGGTCAATCATACAAAGAATTGAAAGGAAAATGGAAGCTATAATTTAGCTGAACTTAACAAATGAAGGTATCTCAGACCAGAAAGTTTATGAAGATATTTTGGTACAAAAATAAAGAAGTATATCCAAGAATATTTCTTTTGCCATAATTATCCATATTTTACTTGAAATAGCTGCATATAAACACTATAAAACATAGACGTACCACCAAAAACATCTAAAAACGTTGCGGCAGAGGCAGTTCCAACTAGATTTGTAGCGTTACATGAGTAGTACCCTTCATCTGAGGGAATGACATTAGTTATGTTTAGGGAAGGATTGTTTAAAACTCCACCCGAGAACTTAGAGGCTGTGACATCGATAGATGTATTAATGTTATTGATACTTGTTCCTCTGTACCACCGCACTGTGGTAACAGGTGGTAAAGCATTCTCTACTGAACACTCCATGTATACTGATCCTCCATAAAGAACGGAATACCGAGATTCTGCTATCCGCACCTGAGCCAAGTCTGAATAGACAATTTACATTAACCATAATATTACTACATCAACAAGACAAAAATCTGAGAACACACAACATCCTGACAAAACGTTAAAGCACATAGCCTTGAACATTGAAAGCATTATGTAGTTAAACATGTTCAGCTGCCAGCTAGCAAGAACCTGCCTTAATAGAAACAAGACTGTGAAAGCATTAGTTCATGACCACCAATTTTACAATTGGCAGATTACTATGAAAGTTGAAATATGCAGTGACTTACTAAGTTACTGAACATTTCAACTTCATTCTATATGTGAATCAGCCTGTGCTATGCAACATTTCAGTGATTCATGCATACATTCTAGTGTATAAAAAATATGTGCCCAAATGAAAGAACATTTTCCAGGTACACATAATATCACCTTTTCCAGACAAAAAAATCTGTAAATTTTCTGTCTTTAACTAGACCTTATCACTGTACTCACTTCCTATTACATTTAATACTGTCTGCCCACTCACGCCCTTCCCTGCATCATTTGTGGCAGAGCACACATATACCCCTGCATCACCACTGATGGCCCCTGTTATGGTCAGTGAAGGTGTGTTTGGAGAACTACCACTGTATCGCGGTTCTGAAGCCACATTGATGGTGGTGGAAACCCCATTAGAGATGCGCTGCCATTCCACTTCACGTTGGAATGGATTGGAGCTTACATTACACTGGAGAGTAACAGAACCTCCGTACGTTACACTGTAACTAGGCTGTGGAATATTTACGCTAGGAACAGCTGTCAGAAAGAAGGGAGAGAAATCAGTGTCAAGCTCCACTGGCAATGTGCCAGAGAATACATTCTACTACTACTACAGGAAAAGCACACAATAGGTTTATCTTTATATCATTATTTCTTATTTATATTTACTTTCAAATTTACATTTGTCTTCAAAAAAATGTTTTTCTTAAAATTTTTTTTTTTTTTTAGAAGTTTAAACTTCATCAAATTATTTTTTTAATAAAGAAAGCAAGATTTTAACATTAAAATTCATAAAATTGTAGTAAACAATAGGTGAATTTTTAAACCAATAAATGAATTTTAAGGGAAATAACTGCAAGCAAAAAGAAAGTTAGACAGCAGTGAGATTGTTCGTACAATGTGCCACACTAAATGAAATTTGAAATGATAACGGATAAACTTATTTACTTGTAAGTTGTATTAAATTTGTGATAGACTTCATTCGTGCATTATCTGTCACAAAAAATAGTTCCCATCAATAACAATGGGAGGTAACTCTTATTGCTGGTAAACTTCGGTATCTTAACATCATACATATCAAAACACAGGTAATCAGAGATTACAGAGCTCACCTCAACGAATGTTGTCTTTAAGTAAGGCAAAGTCCCACACTAAACTAATAATCTAGGAGTGTGCATCCCTAGATGCAACATTTATGCAATTTTGGTCTGATAGGGCTTGCAGTTACTTGGGAATAGACTTATCTGAAAACTTAAAACTAGTCACTCATCCAGAAAATGCAAGTCAAATCCAGCATCCGAAGCAAGTTTTGAGATTGTTCGTCCCTTGATGCATCATCCATGCAAGTTTGGTTCAGATAGCCTTATAGTTACTTGGAAATGAGATCTGCTCCAAAAACTTTAACCTGGTTACTCATCCGGAAAATGTAGGTCAGATCCAGCATCCGAAGCAAGTCCAGTAGTGTGAACCCTTAGATGTATCATCCATGCAAGTTTGGTCAATATAGGGTTTATAGTTACTTGGAAATGACATCTGCTCCAAAAACTTTAACCTGGTCACTCATCTGGAAAATGTAAGTCAAATCCAGCATCCGAAGCAAGTCCAGTAGTGTGCATCCTTAGATGTATCATCCATGCAAGTTTGGTCAATATAGGGCTTATAGTTACTTGGAAATGAGATCTGCTCCAAAAACCTTAACCTGCTCCAAAAACATTAACCTGGTCATTCTTTAGCTGAAATTGCAGCATCTGAAACCTTGACTGGTACAATAAAACACACTAGAAGCATCCTCCATGCATCTCTGACTAATATAGGCCATAGAACTACTTGAAAAGAAAACTGCTCCAAAAACCTTAACCTGGGACGCCGACGCCGAGGGTATTACATAAGCTCCCCCAACTTTGTTGAGGTGAGCTAAAGAGATCCCAGCGACATTCCCTTTAGAAGTGATTTATTGAAAGAGGCTCTTGAACCAATATTCTCTTCCTGACAAATAAATAATTATGTTCATAGATAAACAAAACCTTTAATTGTGGAAACCAAATTAAAAGCCAATATTTCAACAATTTGAATTTACAGTATATTGAAGATTAAATAATACTGATTTTAAAAGTGAATGTAAATATATTTTGGTGCGATTTTTTCCCCCCCATAATCAAGGTCTAGAATTCACACTACATCAGAGATGCTTGCATTTGACTTTAATTTTGGCCCTGCTGTTCTTGAAAAAAGATTTTTTAAAATCAATATTCATAAGTCAAACGTTGAACCCTAATTTCAGCCTAATCCTAACCCCAGGGTCCATGATTTGAACAACCCTAATTCTAATATATAAATAATCAGATTCATTGTGGCTCTGTTATTCTTGAGAAGTACATGATTACTGAATTCAAGTTCAGAATAATTATAAACCTATCATTATTTTCCTTTTGAAAACATGAATGTTGAATAAGAACTTGGAAAAACTCAGGATATCTTGTATATATTTCATAGTTGATGTTAAGATACTGAAGTTTACCTGTACTTATTCTGCTGCCAAAAAAAAGCTTAATTTTTTTTTTTATCACAAATAAGCACAAAACTACTGTCTGGCATAAAATGAAGTCATTGTATATAGACAAGCAAAATAAAGCAATTTACTGCAGGTTAGAATTATGAGCATGATGATAGAATTAATAGTTTTATAATCTAACAAGGTATTTAAAGTGTAGAAAAGTGAAAAACAGAATTTTCTATAACTATTAGATACAGTGGAATGAAAAAAATAATGACAGGAGTAGTATAAATTTTTATGATGTGTTTTAAAACAATAAGTAATTATAGATGATTTTCAAAATGAATCAAGTGGTAATCCCCTTCCCAAACTACTTTAATTGGATAAAGTTAAAATATATATAAATGGTTTAGATTTTCAAAAAAGCTTTTTATAAACAAACAAGTATCTAAGCTATAAGCACATGTTTATGATACATGCAGAAAAAGCTATTTTTTCTATAAATATAAAACGTGCTCACGTACTTCCTCTAACATTAAGAGTTATCTGACCACTGACACTAGTTCCTGCAGAATTGGTGGCAGAACAATCGTAATTCCCCGAGTCAGAGAACACAAGTGTTCTAATGGTAAGACTTGGGGTCTGAGTAGTGCCCCCACTGTAACGTGATAACCCAGTAACCACCATATTAACGGGTACACTATTATTGTACTTCCTCCATACTACAGAGGTCAAGGTCGTGTCAGAGATCACATTGCATACTAAGGTGACATCTTGTCCATAATTGATGTTATAAGTGGATTGAGGCAAGGTGATGTTTGGACGATCTAGAGAGTGTGTAAAAGATATAATTTAATGATAAAATGGCTCTTCTATGAATATTGCTATTAACTCTTCAGTACTCTGTGGAAATATTTAAGCTAAAGGAAAACTGCAATCTACTGGACAGTTATAAATTAGTAGTGAGATACACTGATTATAATACAAAAAGAAAATATAAGTCTAAGCCAACAGTAAAAAGAACGTAATGGAAGTTTTGATACCATACTAAATCCCTTTCTATGAAATTGTATAAAATATCTTTTCAGTACTCTTATCACAGAATATTGGACTTGTAAATGTACCTTACTATTCCTTGTAAATGACTGGAAAGTTTATAATTCATAATTTCAACCCTTATAATATTTTTTAAACAAACCTTTAATGATTAGTTAATTGTATCTCTTCATAAAATTGTGCAGAAAATAATTTGACCAATCACTACAAAAGACATTCCAGTTGGTAGACTGCCTACACATCCAAATCTTGACTACAGGACCCTTGTGTAAAGATGAATAAATGATATATATGAAATTATAGGATAACCTTATAAGTTTTGATCTGAAAAATCACACGGTGAGGGAGATATGGTGAGGAACTGTCTTGAGTGAAATATAATTAGCAAAATCCATCTGATAAAACAACCTGGGTCATCACAAGTGAACTAGGAAGTGGAGTTTGATGTGGTTTGTGCTTCAGAAGGTTCCACATAGATTTCAACTTACTACCACGAACAGTCAGGTCTATAGTGGGTCCTGACTGAACACCAGCATCATTTGTGACAGAGATGACATATTGCCCAGTATCAGAGAGGGTGGCATTTTTTATCACAAGGGACGGGGAACTTACAGTACCCCCTGAGTATCGGCTACTGCCTGCATCTATAATTAGTGTTGCTCCACCAACACTTCTTTTCCAGATCACAGATGTTGCCTGGGGTGATGAACTTATTGTACAGGTCAAGGTCACACTGCTTCCCACTACCACCTCATAAGAGGTCTGACCTACTGTGATCTCAGGGGTAGCTAAAGGAACCAATCACCAGCATGATACAAGCTTATTACAACTGAAGTCAACACCTAACTCTAGATATATCTATATTGCACAATTTTCAATATTTAATGGAGCAACTATAAACTACCAAAGTCATATAATATTAAAAACCTAATTCTACTTTCCACAAATGAAATCAAAACACTAAATTCACAAATTCTAAGATGTTTAGATAAACATAATAAAAATAAAAAAAACATCAATTTTTTCAGTGAAAAAAGGCTCCTTGAACTATATATTTCAAAATTTAAAACATTAATTGAAACTTTAAAAAATCACGTTTACCATTAATCCTTGGCCATTGACTTACTTTGTACAGTTAGAGAAGTGGCAGATCGTGACCCGGTGCCCACACTATTTCTAGCTGAGCAGTAGTAGGTTCCTGTGTCACTCCCTGTCAGGGATGATATCGTGAGGGACGGCTGACTGACTGTCCCCCCAGAGATGCGTCCCCCCATGAAGTTCTGGACATTGGTGGGGTTTCCGTTAATGTCCTTCTCCCAGATGACAGCGGTTGCTGTGGGATTGGAGCTGATGATGGAACAGACAAGGGTAACAGATCCTCCACCAATGCCTGTATAGGCAGATGATCCAACTTGGACTGTTGGCAAAGCTAAACATAAAAGGCAACACACCATTACTGAACCTGTTAAGGCTTAATTTCTGGACACTTGATTCACATATCACACCAATTTCACATATATACCCATGCTGATAAATTTCTCTCCTACAAAAAGCAGGATTCATTCTGACATCATGCCATTTGTGGAGATGTTCATTTGTGAGTTGACCCCCCCCCCTTTTTCCTTATTGAGGTTGGAATTTGAGTTACTAAATTACAAGACTATGTTAGTTGATTCAGACTTTTGTATGCAAGATTACAACATCAAGCTGAGAAAGAAAGCAGATGTAGTTTACGATAGTTTATGATAATTATAAGAGAAATAATAACAAAGTATGTGAAACTATAAGGACTGCAGAAGAGTGATATGAGATATAAATAAAGCTTGGATATATACAAAATAAAATAAAGTAAGAAATAAAAGATAGCTGGGTACATGTAACTGTGATACTAATGAACATACGTGTGTTCTCTCATGAACCTTAAAAACAACAAATTCATTAGATTATGTTGTAATTTCAGCAAAATGGAATTACGATATGAAATCCTGACAAAAGTTAATAACATATACTCTGTTAGATTTAGTGGACAATAATACTGTTACTATAATTAGTAATTGCATACTTACACACAACAACACTCAGGGTCATTTCCCGACTTTTGCCAGTCCCTACGATGTTAGTAGCAGAGCACACATAGGTAGCTTCATCAGATAATTCAGCATTAAAAATTCTCAATGAAGGATCACTTATTGTGCCCCCACTGTACTTGGAGGGACTAAGAATAATTGCAGAGGTCACGCCTTGGTAGGTTTTGAGCCAGCGAATGCTGGTGGCAGGAGGAATAGAATTGACCACACACTGGAGTCGAATCTGGGAACCAAAGGCAACGGTATAGGAAAAACTGGGGATTTCTACTGAGGGTATACCTAGAAGGATAAGAGAGAAAAGTGCCATGGAGTTAAAATTTACAAACAGTAATCAATTATTGAATATATAGAGGAAAAATTGTAAATTTTCTCCAAATATAATTAGATTTTTGTGTTCAATTGATTTTTTTAATTTTATTTTAATTAACCTTTTAATTCAAATATTGAGTTCTTGAAAACATAGGAATTGGTCAATTGACATGCTTGAGAAACGTACAATGCATATGTGTTTTTGAAGAAAAGAAATATAAATTTGAAGAAAAGAAATATAAATTTTGTAGGTCTTGTGCAACAAAGTCTGTGCATATTTATGCATGTCTTTTCAGTGAGAGTCATGCAACTTGCAATATTCATAAACTATTTTAAGAATTTTTGCTACAGCTGATTTTGTGTATTTCAAACTCTTATCACTTTTTTTCAGAACAGTAGTCTCACATTCATTATGGCTATGTCACAAAAATTTATCTGAAGGGAGATAAAATGCAACAACCCGTAAATTGTAGATCCTCTCCCATAAAATAAAATTAGACAAAACCCAAATTAATTTAATTTTTTGTCCCCTCTTCTACCTATATACAACATAATTTTTCATTAGTTTTCTTTTCTGTGTGCCCCCCCCCCCCCTCCCCCCAACTTCCCATGAGATTTGATTTTTTTAAAGTCATTTTAAATTTCTCATCTCTTAAGAAAAGTTTGGCTTATTACTGACCAGAAATGACTTGTGTTAAAAGATTTTTTCCCTAGGGAAATGGATAAATGATACACATTGAACTCTAAGTCTCCTTGCTCAAGTCAAATATAAGTCTCGAGAAACAATACAATTTGTCTTTGGTGTCTCTGTAATTGAGGCAAAAGTAAAATTAAAGAGACCATTTTTCAAAATATTTTGATATTTACTTATTCATTTATTTAGGCCTATACTGCAAATGGACATTATTGAGAAACAAAAATACTTGGTATGTTACCAATACAAAAGATTAAACGGTACTCCACTATACATGTACTTTTGGTATACAACTTAGACATTTTACCTTGATATAGTAAATACATAAATTTTACCAGGAATATAGAATTTTTATTCTATTTTTGGATAAATGTTAACACTGCATTTGTACCATACAACTCCACTTACTGCCCAAAACATCTAAATATGCAGTTCCACTTTGACTGGTCCCCAGGATGTTGGTGGCAGTACACTGGTAGTCTCCCTCATCTGAACTTTCCACTGGGTTAATGGTGAGGGATGGGGTGGAAATGGATCCCCCACTGAATCGAGTTTGTGAGGTGTCTATTTCAGTTCTGACTCCATTTGCAATTTTGTGCCAGGAAATGCTTGTACTAAGGGGATATCCAGACACTGAGCATGTGATTGTTGCTTGGTTGCCAATGGTAACACTGACATCTGGTCCAATCAGGGTTACAGGAACCCCTTACAATAGAAGAACACAGTTACATAGCATCATATGGAAATAAAGTTTTTAAACTTGCAATAGTTGACAAAAAGATTTCCAGACTTTTTAGCATTGTTCAATACCTCCAATCACACTTAGAAATGCTGAGGTGACACTTTGACCTGTTCCTATCAGATTTGTTGCTCGGCATCGATAGCTGCCCTCGTTGGCTTTGCTGACATTTTTTATGGTTAGACTGGGTGTCCCCAAGGTACCTCCAGAGTACTTTGTGAGATCATTTATGTTCACAGCAGTTGTGGTAGAATTGATAGTTTGCTCCCAAGAGACGGAGGTAACAGCAGGTGTTCCCGACACAAAACAAGATATTGTGACATCATCACCCACATAAACGGTGGAACCAGAACCAATCGTAACAGCTGGAACACCTTAAATAATAATGTGTACAACTGAATTCAAAGGTATAATTTAGAAGTTTATTTAATTTACAAAAGAATAGAATGTTTCCTTTCATTGAAGTAAAAAACACTCTTGGACTGGAAGTTTTACAAATATGGACATCACATAGAAAAAATATCCATTATCAAGCTAGCAAGCACAAATAAGATTTAAAAAGTCTCCATCTCATGTTTCTTATTGAAGAAAACAAAACAGAAATACATGTACTGAAAAATTTATGCTTCTTTTATTTTCCCTCAACAAAGCTATGAAAATTACTGTAAGTCACCATTTTTACTTCAGAGAAATTAACATTTACCATTAAATAAAAAATACAGTTTTAAATGAAATTAACATTGGGAAAAATTAAGTCTAATTCCTACTGAAAATTTCCAAATGACATTAAGAAATTGTCTTACCTCCAGTGACATCTACCATTGCTGGTCCACTTTGACCTGTTCCTACAATATTTGTGGCAAGACATCTATACTCCCCACTGTCTCCCAGATTGACATTGTAGATAGACAGCGAGGGATTGGAGAGGGTCCCACCCTCGTAACGTGGGTTTCCATTAATGTTCAGAGTAGTCGTAGCTCCATTCACAGTTTTCTGCCAGGACACAGATTGTTCAATAGGATTGGATGATACTGAGCAACTTATTGAGACATTTCCACCGAACACAACTGCAGAACCTGAGCCAATCACCACAGAGGGAACAGCTACACAAATGAAAAAGATAGAATTAAGAGACTTTTAATTTTCATTTGCTAAAATTTTCTAAATAATTAAAATGGGAGTAATGAGTTACATTTTACATTGCACCATTAAAAAATTTTGAGTAAAATTTGATTGGTAATCACGCTCCTTGATGCACATAAGATATCCTTACTTCCAATGACAGTGAGAGAAATTGGTCCACTTGTGGTAGATCCTGCAGAACTGGTGACAAGACATCGATAGGTTCCTTCATCAGAGAAAGTTACAGTTGAAATTCTCAGACTGGGGGATCCAATGATGGCCCCACTGTATCTGCCACTCCCTGTTAGTATGTAATTTGTGATTCCTGCTTTTGTGGTGTGTTGCCAATTGATGGCCAGAATCTGTGCATCCGGTGATGATATGGTGACTTGGAGAGTAACATTGCTGCCATAATTAACAGAGTAGGAGCTCTGGCTGATTCTGAAGGAAGGCTTAGCAATGACTTTCAGGGTTGTAATGGCACTCTCTCCTGTGCCAACAGTGTTGGTAGCAGTGCACCTGTATTGTCCATTATCTGTTAATTCTGCATTAAATATGGTAAGGGAGGGGTTACTTATAGAAGCTCCTGAATATTTACTTGGATCGTTGACATTTAATGTACTACTGACACCATTTTCAATGGTTTGCCATGATACGTCAATTATATTTGTTGATGTTGAGGACAGAACTGTGCAGGCCAATGTCACAGCATTTCCCTCATTGACAGAGTAGGAATCCTTCTCAATAGTTACACGAGGCAGATCTAAAAAAAAAAAACATGACATAAAAAAATTTCTCAAATATCCTGATCAATAAATTTACTGAACAATTTTAATGACTCTGTTCTTTGGAGATGAATTTAAGTAAAATGCTTCACTCACTTCCTTGTATTTCAAGAACGGAAGTGTCCTGCCCTGTTCCTGCAATATTAACTGCCACACAGCGGTACTTTCCAGCGTCGCTGGTAGTCACACTTTTGACCACTAGGGAGGGGGATGAGATGGTCACTCCCCCATATTTACTTGGATTCCCAGTCACATCTATGGTTGTAAACTGACCCCCTACTTCCCTCTCCCAGTAGACTCGGGAGACAGTGAGACTGGAGTAGACATCACACACCAAGGTAACAGTGTTACCACTAGTGCTGGGGTACTTGTCCTGGTCTATCTGCACTAAAGGGGCACCTGCAATCACAAATCATACTTTGTTTTACTGATTATTTATTACATGCAAAAAATAATAATACAGAAATCTGGGTTAAAGGTAAATGAGATCTTATGCATAAAACATTTTACATGTTTAACTGATAGACAGAAGAAGTTTAAAATTAACCTGTTCTGCTTTATATCTGATTCAAAAATCATTTTTCATAAATACATATTTAATAAAAATTTTATTTGTTGAAATAAACTAGCTATCTAATGCTACCATAACACTAAGTTATTGTGATTTATCAGAGGAAACTAAAGCAAGAAAAAAGTACAATGACAAGACACTAGTGTGCTGGTAAGATTCATATTGTGAAAGTATTTCTTGTTAACACCATTAATTACGTATGTGTAGCTTTTAATTTTGGAAAATTGAACATTACATCTTATCAAATCATGAAATATTGTATATTACTGTAAAATATCTTTTGCATTTACACCTAACAGAATGGGCGGAACTCTGATGAAGAAAATTCACCATGTTACAGAATATGAAATTCTAAAAATGGGTTGCTACAACTAAAATACACAATCCAAGACTTTTTTCCCACTTCAATTCTGAGAGAAATGGGTGTGTTTCTTGAGTACAGATCTAAGAAGTATTAACATGCACTACAAGAAGCAATAAGCAGAAAAGTTTTGCGATAGATATACATTCCACTGCATACTGTGTTTAAGTAACATTCAATTCACAGCACTTCAAATTGTCAGAGAGGATATGAGAGAATAATTATTCTAAAGGGGAAAATAAAACTGATGCATTGCACAATACACATCATTCCGAAGGAATAGTGCTGCATGAGGGGAGATAACTCTACTCACTCCCAGTAATGTCCAGGGAAATCGGTTCACTGGTTTTGTTAGAACCAGAGTTAACAGCTGAGCAAGTGTATGAACCACTGTCCGAAATTTCTGCTGTTTTTATGATAAGTGATGGAAATGTCACGTTGGAACCCCCATACTTTTGTGGGTTTCCCACCACATCTATGGTCTCGACCTGACCATTTTTTATAAACTGCCAGTAGACTGAGGTCTGGAAAGGTATAGCTATCACAGTACACTGCAGTGTAACAGATTGTCCAACGGGAACAGCATAGGACCTAGAGTCCAGAATGATATTTATGGAAGAGGAAGCCTGTCTTTCGATTCGCACGGACACACCTAATTGTAACAAAGAGGGATATTCTGATTAAATTTCATTCAAATTTCCTTCCACTTGTATGTTTTACATTTAGTTCAGTATCCCATCAATGTGAGGACATTTTCTGCTGGATCAACTAGCAGCTTATGAACCAATCAGGAGGCCTCATTAACTGAACAGTACAGAAAAGCACTTAACATCAGGAAATCTTTATATAGTATCCTTCAAACCATGTGCCTTGAAGTAACAAATCCTGGCTATAGATTTGACACACACATTCTAACATTCTCTTCTTTTTACATTGTAGCTTTGTATTTTGTGATATTTTGTTCCTATCAGTGTATAAACATGTACAGGTATACAATTTACTCAGCAAACACACACATTTCTTTCTCACAGAGAAAAAATTTGTAAAACCACTAAAAATAAAAACTAAGCTCTTTTTAAAGACTGCAACAAGCCTAGAGGTAAATCTGATGTAAACCATTGCCAGAAAAGAAGAAAAAATGGAAAGAAAAAAAAATTTAAGGTTTGTCAGTACCAAAACCAAAATTACTGCTAGATATCATAAGCCAATAAGCTACATTGAAAGAATTCTACACAAAGCTAGAGGTAAAAAAGTTACATGTCTGCACATAAAGCCACGTACAACACACTGTGAGTTCCAGCTACAGTTTGTCACCTACCTTGTGCCTTTACAGCACACTAGGATATGACTTTGTCACATGACTGTTATGTGACTAGTACTGGCTCACTAGAAAAAAATCTTGCACATTCTTGGTATTAAGTTAAATTGACATATTAAGTCCCTACAGATCTGAATTGCATATTATGGAAGTAAAAAAAGAATTAAACAAAAAGATGTATGCATTGGTGTGTTTTCAAAAAAATATTAAAAAAACCTGAAAATGAAAATGATTAATTATTTCTGTTACATATATTTTTACAACAAAGAACAATCAATATATCAAATAAACAAAGATGTGTAAATAACAAATTAAAATTAAACAAAGAATAGTAAATATTATGTGTACCAGTTCCCCTACTGCATGAAGCAGATCTGTGATTATCAACCATTATGACTCAAGAGTCAAGAATAATGACTGTTAATCTATATGAGGCAGAATAAAATCTGTACATTGCACTACACAATATCAGCCACCTCATGCCAGATTTCTTCAAGCACATCTGATGACACCCATCTTCCACAGAGCATAACTCCTCTACATGAAAGGTTCATACTCTGTGTCAGTGGGTAGTTTGATCAAGTTGTCAGACAATGCATGGGATAAAATGTGAACAGTGTGAAAAATGTGACCAAAGTTGGCATTTCATATACATATATATGTAGCATTCATTCACTAATATACTTCATGAAAATAATTTATTTTATTAATTTTTATCAGGATTTATGAGAAATTAGAAACATACTTCCTGTTACGGAGAGTGTGGTTGCTGAGCTGGTGCCCGTTCCTGCTGCATTTGTTGCTGAGCATCTGTAACTTGTTGCATCACTTAGAGCCACACTAGTAATGGTCAAATTAGCATTGCTAGTTGTGGATCCGAAAAATCGAACGTTATCAATACTGATCCTATTATAGGCCCCATTAATGAGTCTTGACCAGTAGACTTCAGTGATAGCTGGGGTCGCTGTCAGGACAGTGCAGGCCAGGGTCACTGATCCCCCAACCTGAGTAGTGTAAGATGCACTGCCAACCTGAAGGAGGGGGGTTTCTACAAAGATAAACAAATTTGATGGTTCATGTTTGCACACTCATTCAATTTTCAAGGAGGCTAAAACATTGATTTTCTTTTTTTGTAGAAATATGTTCCTGTCTGCGAAATTAATTATAGTTCTGAGCAAGTAGATTGGTTGACGAATTATCAAAACAAAACTGTGCATATATATTTCTGTGCATGCATCATTGTAGCAGTACCACTTGAAGATTCATAATGAGAATTAAATGTCTACAGAATATTGCATATAATAGATCCTTATTTTAATTACACTTATAAATATGGAATATTAAGTAATATTAATCAGCACAAGACTTACATTTGTAACTTACATAATGAAAAGTCACTGATTTGCAACTCTTTTGTTACTTAATTGTACTGTAACAAGAATGTCATAAAGATCAAAGAAACAAAAAAAATTAAGAACAGAAGATGGAAAGCCGTGGACTTGCTGGTGCTCCATATTCATTACAACTGTACTCTTGTACATTAGGGACAATTGTGTAATAAAGTTTATCAGTGACAGACCACACAGAAAACAAACATTTACAATGAACAAGGAGTGAAAAGACATTTGCCTGCATGAATATATTTTACGCAGCAGAAAGATAATGAAAAAAATTCTCTATTTGTAAATATTAGCTTCATTAACCTATGAATGACTATATACATGTATACACTGTTTTCACTTTTAATTGATTACCGGTAAATCAGTTATTTTAGAATTCAATAATAACAACCAAAAATCCATGTTAATTATCTTTGGGAAAGGTATGTAAATATTGAAAATGGAAAAGTGTATATCACACAAGTAAAACAAAATCAAAATATCTGTTACAGCACTGGACTGATCTGAATGGGAATAGGATAGACATATAAATAATCCAAAATTACTGACTGAAAAACTCACCAGATATACTGTGAGTTAATGCTATTCTAACTACAAGACTGTATACCTATTGTATAATAGAGTGCATTTCTTTCAAGATTCCATTTTTACTTATATTCTAAGCTACTTTAAGATTTTCCTTTCCACTATTCTAATTATAGGTACATGTACTGAACTATAAACAGGTCAGAAGAACCAAGCTGGGTTTTCTCCTGAAAAATAAAACTGGATGAATACACCAGTGATTGGTGTATAGCGTGTTCATTGCAGATACTATATGTACCCTGAAAAGCATGATGGGTAATCTGGTAATATCAGTGTATTGTTTTGCTTTTTCACTGTTATTTTTGTACCCATTTGCTTTACTAAGGACACATTATTTAAAAGCAAAGAAAGAAATACACTGTATTGGGACTTGTGATATCTATTAATGAACACTTGGACAGCTTATTACGAAAGTGGGTGTCTGACTGCACAAAAAGTTACCACAGATTGTTACCTTGGTTTTGCAGCTCTGCAATAGATTAATCAAAAACACAAACCTCCATTATTGCTGAAATCACCTTCCAAGTTTCATATCAAACCATGCAAATACCTTCTGAACCATTAATGTATAAAGACATGTGTAAATGAAAAAAATTGGTACATCTGAACATCAGACCACAACCTGTGGCTACAATTTTTGACTTACGCTGTACATTAATTGGTACAAAACTGGATTTTCTGGTGGAGCTCCCACCAGCTATGGTTTGTACGGTCTCACAGTAGAGATTCTTTCCATTGTCATCAGTGATGGGAACCCAGCTCAAGTTGCTAGTCTTGCTCAGAGTACTATCAGCATTTGTGCTGGTGCTCTCCGAGATTCCTTGATGAAATTCTACTGCAGTTGACAAAGAGGTTCCAAGTTTCCAGATAATTTGGGGGGCAGGTCGACCATTACTTGCTGTACAGACATATTTATAAGTAGAGCCAGCATCAAGTGCATTGGTGATTGCAGGCTCTGGACCAGTGATGATGGGTTGCTGTGTTTGCACTGAAATCAAACAGTCAGAATTAAAATGATTGGAAAGAAAGGCTTTGGTCTCCAACATTTCATACTCTTGTGCAAAGTATACTTGTTTGAAAAAATAACACAGTGACAATCTCCTATCTATTTCTTGTCAACCTAAATCTTGTAAACCTTTTTAAGTCAACCTAAATCAGCTGAATAAGACTACAGTGTATTGTACAAGTATTTCACGTATTTCATGCATCTTTATTGAAAAACAGTGCCTACATGTATCAGTTTAAAGAGACACATTCTTAGTACAGTGTAAGTTATTCTAAGAAGGCAAAAATACCATAAATTACCATAAACACTAATTGTCCATGAGCGGGTAAGATTGTTGGCTATTACAGAGTTTTTCACCCTACAGATATAGGAGACCAAGTTGTCTGATCTTGACACGACAAATGTGTAGTTGTTGTAAGTAACAGAGGTGGATCCAATTGTGTACACTCCATCACCATTTCCAGTACTACTGCTTCCTGGATCCACCAGTTGATTGTTCTTGTACCATTCCACCAATGGGAGAGGATTACCCCCCACAGCTGTACAGCTCAGTGTTGCTGTTTCTCCTTCATTTTTTTCAAAGTCACCGACAATAGTTGGGTTACCAGGACTAGCTGTTGAATTAAAATTGGCAAATTATGTTTTATCTAATAATACAAGCATCATCAATTATTAAAGCCAAGACACGGAAACAGTTCAAATATACTCAAATATAAACAAGACATAATGGAGAAAAATCATTTTTTGGACACCCTTTCGTCACATAAAATCGAAATCATTATCACTAAAAAAACATCAATTCAAGTTATACAAAGTCCACATTTACAATCCAAAGTTCCCTCTTCTTTAAATTTTACTAAGGAGAAAACTTCTTAAAAATTAAATATCATAATACTTACTTTGTGAATTAATCCCATTGAATAACGAAATAATTAATAGCACTGGGATTAGGAAGGAACCTTGCCTGTTGGCAAAAGTCTTGATATCACACACCATTGTGGAATGTGGATTTTAAACAAAATATCTCTCACTTTATAAGTTTGCACATCCCTTCACTTACTGTGCCTTGAACCTAAAATCAAAAGAATAACTTTTAAAATATTTAAAAATATATATTGTATAAAATTCAAATTAATATTGATTAAACAATTGATAGTTTTATAAACAATCGTTAGTTGTTTACAGAATATGGAAAAATGACTGGCATGTAAACTGAGAGTATCAAACAGATAAATCACACAGACTATAATAAGCAACAATTCATACAGAGAAAATTAGTACTGGGTGGAATAATATCATAAACCAAGGGTTTTAACCTGTAACCCTGTCTGATCCCTATTGTTGAATACCAAAACGGAAACTTTGCTTCGGAGAGTAAAAACCTAATCTTCTATAACTGAGCTATAAGCTCTAGTCATTTAAAATATGTGTAAGAAGATTAATCAGCAAAAGAATTTACTCTTAGGAGAATAATTAATTTTATAAATCTTACATCCCTTGCATTCATAATTAAGATTTAGCATTTATGTAGGTGTATACTAGTATTCTAGTAGGTAAGGCACCTTGCAGAATTCACTTTAAGCTCTTCAATTTTTTTTAAAACTCACATACATGTATTTGCATTAAATACCCTTGTGTCTACATTTTGAAATCTTGATCAACATGAAAGAGTGAATAAGAAGACCCTGCGGTCTAATTTATAATGGTGAGAGTGGGAGTTAATACACTATAGTCCAATGTAGTCAATCAACAACAGGCTGAGTAAATAAGGTTGCTTAGCACATTTATTAATAAATAGAAGGCAAACTGGTCCAACCAGTCTTTTTTTTTTTTAAATCATTGACTCTATAGTACTAGTTTCACAGAAAATCCATAATCTAAATAGTTCGTACATAACTTGCAAGGGATTTAAACTCTCATTTCTGCTCATGTGTCTCAAACCTGTTTCTGAACAAAGCATTGCCAAATATGCTATGGAGATGGAGTATTTCTTTTATGATAAAATTAATAATTTATAAATGATAGACTAAATGAATGACTTTTTTACTAAGTGATTAAAGAGGTGGAATTTTCATTATTTCTGTGAAAGGATCACTGTTCAATCAGTCAAGCATTTAACTTTAAATTTCGATCGTTTTAAAGTTTATCATCACAATATCAGAAACACATCAAAGAAGAACCAACATCTCAATTACTTCTTTTAAATCGAGATAGCTTTCATTTCATCATGACATTGAGATATATCAAATATTCAGCTGTAGGACTTTAATAATTTATGAGTATTGTAGTCTCTTTCCACCAAAAGAAGATGCCTACTTGATATACATTTTTTTTTATATGAACTAATTTATTAATAATTTGATATCATTCATCTTCCGAACGAAATAAAAAGATGCAGAAAAGAGAGACCTGTGGCAGTATGTACTGAGGGCAAAATAATCAAATGATATACAGATGCAAATGGTTTTTCCAAAATATAATAGTCTATGAACCCATTTTATATTGTAACGATGCTCCATGATAAAAAGGCCAGAACTAGAAAACTAACAGTTAGAAAAGGCCCTGCTAAGGGCTGTTGAAGAAAAGTGACAACTGTACTTAGTAGATACACATTCAGGCATGCTTACATACAAACAGACAGACAAAATGATATGGCCTTAAATTTATAACAATCTTTCTCTTATAGTATATCCTTCAGTGTAAAATATGAAAATTTTATGTTGAAAGCTCGAGTTATCATGTCACAACAAAGGTGTCATGAATAAACATTCAAACAAAAAGAGAAACAGACAAAATAAGATATAACCCCAAAATCTATAGTACTTATGTAAAAAATTTGAAAAACGGTTCGTTGAGAACCGAGTTATCGCATCACAACAGAAGTGTTGACTGACAGATGGACAGCAAGACGGATGGACAACATAATTCTTACAGGGCTCCCACATTTTCATGTGTGGCCCTAAAAATTAAACTTTTTACAGCTTGCTTCCACTCTCTAGCTCTATCGTTAGACTGAATATATGAGATGCTTTAAATGATTTGGAAATTTCTTTAACCTTTTCTAACATGGACCATGAATACATCAATATATATCCAGATAACCATATATTACACGTTTGTGTACTTTGCTAATTAATAATCTATTGGGACAGAAAAAGAGCTAGCACCTCTCAATACAACCATTCAACTAAGCAATCAATAAACAATGTTTTTTTCACATTAAATAAAGCCTTTATAAATATTTCTATAGTCTATGGCAGCACAATCACTTTAAAACCAAATTATGAAATCTTTGTTATCTCTAACAGATCAAAGTCTTATTCATACAATTCTCTTTCCATTTCCATGTTTTACTATTGAAAAACCAGAATTGCACAATCAATTGCAGAAAAAAAATATTAAAAACCCAGCATGTAAAACCTTTTCCTTTGTGTAAACATTTCCATGTCTTCAAAACGAAACCATGCATGCAAATTTTGCCTCTTTTGGATTTAGGTTTTGCTGAAACTCGCTGGCATTTTGCTCTGTGCCCTAAAAACACATTACTGGGGAGAAAGATTTTTTAATGACAATACCATCCATTCTGCATATTCAGTTACTTATTTCAAACACTGTCATCACAGCCTAATAATTTCAGATCCCTTATGAGATCAAAAAATTGATTTTTTCAAACTCACAACAGGGTCTCCATTGTCTGACAAATGTATTCCTTAGCAACCATTACTTCCTGACAGAAACCGTGACAACCTAGATTCAATAAATAGAATCTGAAGAGACTGAAAATAACAGCATTTTGTATATTCTTTTATCCTTCTCTGTAAATCGCAGGCAGTTGAACAATTACATCCTGTTTAAAAATGCCCCTAACACAATGACTAATTATGCCTGATAAAATCCTGTTTATTAGCCTAGTATTCTCACCATGTGAACTGCAGTTTGTTTTTTCTCCATATTAATAAATATTTATTGAAAACAAATAAGGTAAGGATGGTATTTCTATTACATATAGTTACAAGTATAAGTACACATTCCGTATTTTGCATACAGTGATTATTTAATACATGTGTCAGGGTTCGAAATTCACTATATACAACTCATAAAACGCGAGTTAGAATTCCCAAATTGCGAGTTAAAAATTAGGTAACTCGCAAAAACTTGCGAGTTGAGTTTTTTTTTACATTGAAACTGTAGCAAAATTATATAATATGACAGAACACAATACTTTTGATTTAAATCAGTAATTTGAATAAAAGTCACACTGTAGTTGTATTTTGTGTATTGTACAGTAGTTACTTTTTCCTTAAGTTACATGTATTTAATTTATATAAATTCAACTTTATATGAAAATTGCGAGTAGTCTTATAAAATTGCGAGTTCACTTTCTTGGTACTCGCAATTATTTGCGAGTTGTAATTTTAGGGAGTTTCTAACCCTGTGTGTAGGTATTGAGATCTGCACAAGTGTCTTACAAATCGTAACTTGTAAAATGCTCTCTCATTAGGCAAACAACTTATTCCATATTCCTCCCATTACCCCTCAATATTTCATCACTCCTGTGCAGTAATTCTTTTTTTTTGGTTCTCTAACATGTTAGGTTCTCTAACATGTTAGAGAACACCTTGGACAATTCTGATTGGTTGCTTATACCTAGGACGATTCAAATATTAGCTGCTTTTCCTGGGATTTCATCTCTAAGATCATGTCTTATGGTGGCACAATATGCAGGTACAATGTATGACTGAATTTTTTATTCTTTGAACATTTCCATTGTGGTTCTTTTCATTTACTTGAGACGGTTTGCATGTTCACAAAATTTTCATTCTCAATTATATATTTTTATTACTATAGATTTCAATGACATAACAAGAATTCGTGAAAAATTTGTCTCGCTTACAAATACCAAAGATCTATCTTTTGAAAATTTACAGTAAATCAAAAAGAATATTCCTTGAAAGATTTTTTGTGATTCATTATGTACACTAATAATTACTTGAAATATAACATACAATTATTATTGTTGCCAATAACTCATGACTTAAGAAGCAACATGGGTTTGAAAATGGTAAAATACTTTATATCACATTTTTCTTGTAACATATTTCTGCTTGGACAAAATCAATCCAAAACAACTCAGCTTAGGCACAACATAGCTGTCAACTTCAATGTTTACAGAAAATTTACATATCAAAAAAGAAATGTTTTCATCAAACTCCTCTTTGACAAGGTAAATTCATTATGCATTACTGACTTCAAAGGCATTTCATTTTGGTTAATTTAATCATGTACACTCAATAAGGACTTGTGAACTAATAGGATTGTCTTAATAACACAAGGTGTGCTTTTACACTTTAATTTTCGTACATTCAAAATCACTCTGAATTACTGTGAAAATCATTAATTTCAGTGGAAGTTTTTCATTGTTTTAGTAGTATGAAGAGACATATTAAATTTATGTCCTCCATGAAATGTAAAATTTGGAATATTTTAACTATACTCATCACCTTATCAAACATGAAATAAAATCCCCATGAATATTTTTTGTTAAACCACAAAAAATAAGTAATTTCACAGTAAGCTTTTAAATACCATCTTATTCAACATGTTCAAGATTACAAATGGTTATTTCAAGTATGAAATAGTTTCTTTATATAAAAATGCTCAATTGCAAATACAAATGTATTAATAAAGCACCTGCACCCTAGAAACCAGAAAATAGGAACTGAAGGTAGTTTAGTCATTAGCAGCTTTAAGATTGACAATCAATTATCAAAGTCTGTGATCGATCAATACATAACTAATTACTGCATTAACAGTATTTAGACTAATCGTTTACAGAATTAAAGACCATATGATTCAGTTTGTAAGAAAGGAATACCCATAACCTAATGAACTGGAAAATGACTCTGTCACTCTAGGATCAATATCCAAGTATTCCAAGGACAATGAATATGTAACAGGTAAACTTGCTTCCAGGTAACAATTAGATGATGTTAGCTATGCATAATACATTGATTCATTTAAATGATAAAACTTATTCTGAACATTTACAGTATGTTTTCACTGTAACTGAACCGCAGAACAGGTAAAATGAAATGCATACCAGTCCGCGAACAAAACAATAAGGTGTCAAACAAAGAATAGGTAAAATAAAATATAGAAATAACCATTTCATGTATACAGAACAATCAGCTGACATACATAAACGAAAACTTCACTTACATGATCAATGAAGGAAGAATTATTTTGTGAAAGATCCTGGTACCTGTTATATAAAAGAGATCACATCTGCCCAATGAAAAAAAATTCAATCTGATGTTAATCAACAGAGCAAGAAATTAAATATCCAGAACATCGGAATGCCATCAAAATACTGATGAAGATGTCATATCCATGTATTCAATATAGAATTATAATCCATTAATACAAGCAATTTGTTTGTGTACCTGTGTTGCCATGCCAACCAGACAGGTGACAGAGATGGACAATGATTAGAGAATATTGTCACAGAAATATAGGTAATGTCATTATGGCCCTTTTTACAGAGTTTAGTTGCTATGAATAAGTAATGCTAACCTATAAATATTGATTGCAGAAAACACAATATCCTGCTAAAGAGCTTTTTAAAGAATCTAAGCTACAACAGAACTAAACTTAATTTTTTCCCCATCTTTGAAAACAATCCATAAAATTGTAGATAAATTCTCTTCCTGGTTTTTGACTGTAGAAGTGGATCAAAACCCTAGAGCATTATAAAAGATAGAGCCTTTGAAAGGAATACCATAAAGAGCTACATTTTGAGAGGTTTTGACCCGAATTTAGGCATTAGGGAAAATTTAAGAGAACATTTTCTTTATTTAGCATTGTAAATCAAACAATTCCAACAAAGATTTAAGACAGTTGTGTTGTACATCCTAATCCTACATTAATAACACTAATTCAATAAAAGTCATTATTATACCTCTAAGAATTGTTTCCTATATAAATCTACACTTTAAAAAAGTCAAACATTTCCAGTCCCATCCCCCCCCAAAAAGGTTGAACCAGTCGACCAAGTTAAATATACAATGTGGGTAAACCAAATTTACAACAAAATTTTGCCACCTGCACTGCAAAATGGAAACCAGGACACGGTATGTCATGATAAAATGTAAAAGGCATAACATATATTGACAGGATTCTCTGGCAAAATTCTTCATCCAAACTGTTACTTACAAGGGTTCAACAGGGTATCAGCCACAGGCCCTCAAACCCAGTCATACCATTTGCAACAGAAATTGAAATAATATAATCACAACAAGCTTATCTTTTAAAAAGATAGGTGAGCTAGCGCTGTAGCCATCATAAGACACAGAAGTAGATATCTGAATCATTGGTTTAATTTGCAGAATTGAGTAATTATTATTAATAGTAAGTCACAGTGATGCACCTGGTTTGGGGGATGGGGTCTCAAATCAGAGTGGTGAATCCAGAGAGGGATTCACATTGACAATGGCTTAACTCATTAATTGTGATTAAAGCATTCTGTATAGTTTAATACTGTAATTTCAATTTTGGGGTAAAATATAAATCATCAGTAGATCCAATGAGCACCTAGTTTAAAATATTCCAGTGCATTACTGTTTTGTAGCAATCACTTCTTCCAGGCTTTTCTGGCAAGCTCAGAAAACATATCCAAAGTTACTTAATGGAAAGATCCAGGAAGGTATTGTAGAAAAGCTAGGTATCATAATTTTAGAAATAACTGATCTCTACAGTCTTAATATACAGTATAAGACCTAAGTTACTGTTGCTTGTGTACATTAATATACAGGTTAGTCAATGAAACACGGAACTTCAGATCATATGTATTTTCAGATGATAAAACGAAAATGACATGGTACAGTTTATCTACAGTAGTATTCCCAGAATGCCCTACCGTGAAGTCGAGCATGCGTATTCCAGTAAATAGACTAACGTAGTTGCTAGCGCTCGAGAGCGCTAGCAATAATTATCAACAATTAGTTCTTAGCTGCATGTTTCAAGCAACTGATTTTTTATATTTGAAAATGAATATATAATTAAGAATTTGCTTGTTTCAGAAAACTCATTACATGTGGTTGGCACATTAAATTCTCGGGAGGGGTGTGTGACTGAGTCCAATTAACTAAAGTCACACAAAAAGATGCAGTGATGTTAACAAATAAATATCTTCTTTAAATGTTATCATTATGGACATACAATCTACTAATTTATTCTTAAAGAGCCAAAGAAAATTATACAAATGTACATCTATATAGTCCGTGTGGAAATTAAAATTTAACTTCAAACCATGCTGGTGCAGTATAGGGCAAATTTAAGTTCCAGGTGTATCATTTAAGTACTTGTTTTCTTATATTTAAAATTAATTGTACATGTTTAAAATGTATTGCAAAAGTCACTTATAATAAAGAAATAAATAATAATTATTATTATTATTAATATTTATAATTATTATTACATAGTTATACGTGTCATGTAGCCTATTTGTAGACAAAATGTGCATCACATTCTGCATATTTTTTATTCATTAATTAACACCCTTTTTTAAAATTAAACTTGGACATCTTGAACATTACTTTGTTGAATAGAAGGGATATGTCTGAGTCAGTGGTTACTACCTTCATGGTAAGTATGAATTCAAGATTCAATCTCCGGCATTTTTAAAGTTATCATATCGAAGATACCAAAGCCTAACTGTAACCGACACTGAATACTATTCTCCTCTTCCAGTAACAATTTACAGTCAAACATTTTAACTTTGATAAAGGCTGTACATCTCACATGAGTTTTCAAAAAAATGTTTTTGAAAATAAATTGAATGGTGAATTATAAACAAATCTTCAGCATTTATAGGGAAAAAAGATTAAATCATCAATACTGCTTGTGAAGGCGTATACATTACGAGTTTTATGTATCTTCCTCCCTATTTCATGATCACTTTTTTTTAAATAAGGGGCACATGTTACTATATATACAATAAATTTCTATGAGAAATACTGCTATATACTGCTTATATGGACCTTTTTATTATTATACATATATATATAATACATGCATATAATGTACTATATTAATGGGCTTTAATATCTACTATGAAATATTTTATGTTTGATGAAGAAACTTATGTATCATAAATTTATATAAGAAAAGTAGGAAATTGTGTTAAGGTATAATTAGAAGCCTTCTACTTTCAATATGCTCAAGGCTTACCTCATTTAAATAAGCAAAGGCCAAAAAAAAAAGAAGTTTACATAATAATTTTGGGGTAAAAATTGGAATTTCTGGTACATTTTTTTTTGGAGAAGTATGAATAATAAGCAGAGCTGCCAACATCAAAAAACAAAAAATTGTAAGAATAGGTCCACTGGCCAATTAGACCCCCTGTCTCTGAAATTTTTTTCCATTTTGTTCATGTTAAAATGTTTGACATAATAAGTAAGCATAGAAAGAAAATGACAATACAAGTATGTGCTAATATTACTTGAATATTAATCTTATTAATCCTATTAATCTTACTTGAATAGTGAAAACTAAAGGCAGACAGATAATGAAAATACCAATATCTAAAAGTTCTGATGGAGATCGAGAAATGAAAGTATATAATCGTAAGGTAGATAATCAAACCGTAAGCCTTACACCTAAATCGTAAGGGTTGGCAGCTCTGAATAAGGCTCCCTTACTTTGATTTTTTTCACTGTTAGGAATTTTTAAGCAGAAATTGGGAAAAATGGCTGCTTTTTAGCATTGGCAATGGAGCCTTATCCCCCCACCCCTCCCCCCCAGAGTCAGTAATACATGCTTATAATGAATTGATGCTTATAGGGAAGTGATTTTCATTCCCCTTCGCTTTAAAATATATTGTGAACTTAACAGATATAACAAATTAGGTTTCAATGAAGCAAAAACATCCATCCCTGGCACTTCTTTACCTGTTTACAAGTGTGTTTTACTGTAGATGATGGAAAAACAGTCTAATCAATTCCCATCATGGAAAATGAATAATGGCAGTTTCATAGGTTAATGATTTCCTACATAAGACAAATACAGGTACATTCTTTCACTAAAAAGAAGTATGATCAATGAACAGGCCAAAACAGATTATAATATCAAGTTCATATAAAAAATTGAAATTTTGAAAGCTAGGTTACCATACCATATAAGCTCATTAAATGAAATAATAAGTGATAAAAAGATATGGAATATTTAAGTTTTCCAAGCTAAAACTATTGGAAAATAACCATGCACATACAACATTGTCAACAAGAGCCAAGTGAATGAATATAGATTTTCTGTCTGCCATACTGCCATTGATTGAAATCAAAGACAAGTTATTACAAATTATTCCTCTGAATTCACAGGTAGAAATGACTTTTTATTGTTTGTCCAAGAACAATTGTATCATATGACAACAGTTCACAAAATGGTGTCAAACTTGAGAGTATGGGTTCCAACCTGTAGCATATTAATTATATTTTCTTGTAATTTGACTGATATAATGACAACATGAAAAGGTATTGAAATCTTAAATATCTTAAAATAAAAATTATCTATAAAGATACCAGAAGATCAATAAAATGAAAGAAGGTACATACCTAAAATTATTAATATATCTTTGAAAATCCAACCAAAAAAATAATTCAATACTATTCTGTTGTTTAGCTTAAAGATTCCTTCCCACTGAATGATATGCTTTAAAAAATCCCAAAGCCTGATTCGAAAAGAAAAAAAATTAACCCGAAGAAAAAAAATCAGTCCTGTTGTCCCAGCTTATGGATCACATGTATTGAAAACAGGCAAATGAGTTCTTAGTAACCATTAACTAAGCACACACAGGGCCTGCTCAATCAGGCATGACGCTCTACACACAATAACTGGTTATGTACAAACAACTATGTAGACATTTAAAAATAATACCCAAGCCAATTCAGAAATGCTCTGCTGCCAGCATTTGTTTGGACTTGTTCCATCAGTCCTGACCAGACTGTGTATTAATTCTTTTAACATCTCCATGCAGCAATGGGTCCACTAAGCTGTGTATATGGCCATATATACACTTGTAATATCAAGGGAATAGCATAATGGCCCTAATTTTGGTATATCACACAAAATACTATTGATATTATTTTTAATATTTATATATCTACCTGTCATTTAGGAAGAACTATTTAAATAATTTTTATTTATTGCTTATAAAAACATTACATGTATAACTAAGATATATGTAAATGATCAATGACTGCAAAAAAAAGATCTGAGATCTTGGAGGAATATGAAGTGAAAATGAAATCCAAACTCTGAAATAAGATTTCTTAAAAAAGAAAAATCAGCTGTATGTATGTGCATAGTTTTAGTTTTTATAAATGTATCCTCCATGTCCAAACTTTATTTTGCACCTTGCATATCCTCCAGAACATTAAACTTATCAATGGCATGCAGTACATTACTTAAAATATTCATTGAAATGTTTTTTACATGACATGTAGTTATCATTGTCTGTCAAGATTACATTTTCACAAATTTAAGCAACTCCTCTTTAACTTTTAGATAATTTAATGAAATATACAATAAATCCCCCAATGAAATAAACAACACTATACATTTTTTATCAATTTTACAAAAATCTTTTTAAAGAAATTGAAAGATTTTTTTTTTCAAAATCTTAACGCTTTTTGAATTTTTGCTATAAAATTATCAAAAGGTTACAAAAACTTCCATTTCTATATGTCAAATAGAACTTTTAAATTAATTGACTCGATCTTTTTAGTATATATAGTATAAACATCATTTCTTTCAAAATTCCTATTAAATTCTTTGAAAATTAATTGCTCTTCTTCAATATCATTATGGAACTTGAAAAATTCTAACTATAGATGCATACTGATTACATCTATCTATCAAAAGAGAGAGAGAGAGAGGGGTGGGGATAATAGGTACATGTTTACTTGCCTGAAAAATGTAGAAGCTGTGTTCAAAGGGAAATAACTCTTCCTCCTAGACAAAAACTTTCATTCTGAAATTAAATGCATTAAATTAAATGTGTAATAAACACAGTAAGCTTACAAATACAAATACCAATTTACATTTATGAAGAGCATATTATTTACTTACTGATTGTCAGTTATAACAATACAGAGAGGACTATGCATGGTGCTTTTCATTTTGTTCTGTTGTCCTGAAATAAACTACATATACCTATATGCTGAAATTCAATACAAACTTGCATTACTTACAAATATCTTCGTTTTCTCTCAATACATTTAATAAGAAATGTATTTTTAAATAAAAACCATAATATATATACTTGGTGATTACCTTATCAATATCTTTTCAGAAAACAAACATCCTGTTCACCATTTAAAAGAAACTGCATGGTTATTTATCATATTATTCTGCTCTATTATTATCATTCCATAAATATATAAGCTGAAAATCTGCGTATCATCCAATTAACATCCTGTTCAGACCATATGACAATGACATTACCAAATAAATTTTTTCCCCAAACAAATGCCAACAAATACATGTATGGCCAAGGACAAAGATGTAGGTTGCTATAAACACTCCGCTGACACCTCCATGCAGAAAAGATTAATAAAATAGAACAGGAACATAAATCTACAGGATGTTTTCATAGTTACAAACGCTTTTTGTCATAATTTTGATCAATCAATGTGATACTGTAAGACTAGGTACCGCCACAACTCGTATTCCGCGTGAGAAGGGGATTGCATGCAATGGGAACATGCCCTCGAATATTCTTTTGTTATTTACTGAAAGTTATATACCACGTGTACTAAAATACTGTCCTTTTCGATTCCAAGGTTAAGTCTGTAAAGTTTAGTGATTTATCCTGTTAATTTCTCAATATTTTGGTCTGGCCCGAGTTTGAGTTTCAGCGCCTGTAGTTCATGTAATACCGAGCCCGAACTAATTAACATATACCAGAACCCGGCCCAATTAGTTACGCACGTACATTACATATACTGAAGAGACATTTACCTGTTAACCGTATCAGTTGTTCAACTAATTACCCCAAAAACTGCAAAACCTATGAAAATAATCTGGGAAAATCGTGAAAGTAAAATTCAAATACATATTTAAATCGCCACATTTCCTGCCAAAATAAATAGTCAAAAAACTACAATCCCCAAAAATAATCTTGAAAAATCGTTAATACATATTTAAATCTCCACACTTCCTGCAAAAATAGATAGTAAAGTAAAATAACACAATCAATGAAAAAAAAATTACTTTTTTTAAAATCCTGCACACACATACTGATAAATTATACGGTTAACCGTATTTGCAATATCTAAAAATAAAAAAACGCACTGCTGTAAATAACAAAGGAATACTATATAAATGTACATACATCCTGTAACAGGAATAGAAGAAAACCTGAAATAAGATTATAATTGAATTATAATATAATAGTAGTCCCCACTTTACAAAATATGATATGGTACATGAAGATCACGTGAAAATTGCAAAGCCAGTGTAATTAAAGCATTGCTGCATGTGTACCAGTACTTTCATCTAGGCACATCAATTATCTGACATCCCTTTCCACAAAACTGAAGTTCCCAAAATACAATAAATTGGAAGACTTCATATTCTGTATGGAAGGGATGGCAACAAAAATTCACACTCAGCATGGGTTAGATATATGTGAGTAGCGTGACATTTTAAAAATAAAACATTTCATAAAATTGCCATGCATCCAATCTTTTATATATTGAGTAATCTTAGTTTTATTGACAATAAGCATTATAGATGTGTATAAATTTGTACAGAAGTAGTACTCACTTCCGGTCACAGTAAGTGTGGTGGCGCCACTGTTGCCTGTTCCTGCAGTGTTCGTTGCCGAGCACTGGTAACTGGTAGCGTCACTGAGGGCCACGCTGGTGATGATCAAGCTAGCATTGCTTAGTGTAGACCCAAAAAATCGCACATTATCGATGATTAATCTATTAAAGGCACCATTGACTAGTCTGCTCCAGTAAATAGTTGATGGAGGTGGTAATGCTGTTAAGACAGTACAACCCAGAGTGACTGACTGGCCGACCTGGACGGTGTAACTACTGCTATTTACTTGAACGATGGGAATCTCTGCGAGGAAAAATACAATTGAATCATTAAAATGCTTCAAAATATTTTTTTTTTATTTATTGCTCTAGAAAGAATTGAAAGAGTGGACATACGTTGTACAAAAATGGCTGCACTTTGTGATTTTGTAGCTGTTGTGATGGTTCCGCCGGACACTACAGGCTGAGTCGTCACACAGAACAGAATCTTCCCATTGTCGGCAGTGATGGGAATCCAGCTCAGAAAGCTGATTTTGGTCAGGGTACTGTCGGAGTTGGTGGCTATGCTCTCCGACACCCGTACTGTCCTCCCCGACATCCCCTGATGGAGGTCTACCGAGTTTGAAAGAGAAGTTCCCAGTTTCCAGTTAATGTTTGCCACTGGGTAGCCGCTGCTGGCAGTACAGGTATAATTATACGTCCTGCCAGCATCTAGGGCTGTAGTGACTTGCGGTACAGGCCCGCTGATGAGCGGGTTACTAGCTGGAACTGAAATGGTAAGAAGAAAAGATTAGGCCTAGACCCTGATGTTGTAGAACGAAATTTCTCAGTAGTTTCTCCACGAAAAAGAACTTAACAATATATAATTAGATTGTACTTGTAAAAAATCTTAAAGGATATTCCATGATGAAAAACATTCCCACACTTTTATAATGATTCATCAAGTTTGTAATGCTTATTTAAAAAGATAACTTGTGAAACTAATATATGTCATCAGCCCATTAAAGGGATCAAAACCGTTCTTTGTAGCAAGTATTGTAATCACATTCTGACACAGGGTAAAATGTAAGGCAAAAATTTATAATTTTATAAAATGTGGACCAGAAGGTTTCATGAGACGATAAACAGGATTAACGTTAACATTAAAAAACAGTTACATTACAGGAGGAAACAATCAGAACCCCGTGTTTGTCATAGAAAACAAAAACATAATTTCATTTTTTTTTTAAATACAGTATATTAATTACCATAGACTTCTATGTTTAAGGATCGTTGAAGCTCGCTGGTTAGAGCAGAGCTGTTGACCTTGCAGATAAAGGACACTGCGTTGTCCGACCTTGACACTTGGAAAGTGTAGTTATTGTAAGTGACAGTGGTGGATCCAATTGTATACACTCCATCTCCGTTTCCGTTAGGACTACTTCCTGCATCTACAAGCTGGGTGTTTTTATACCACCGCACGGAAGGTAGTGGATTACCCCCAAAAGACGTACAGGTCAAGGTCACTGTATCACCTTCATTCGTTGTGTTAACAATGTTGATATTAGGATTGCCAGGAGAGGCTGTTCATTAAAAAAAGGAAATGAAACAATGAGAAACTAGTAAGAAAAACGGCATTACTAATGTAAAGATGATTATAATCATACATGTATAAAATCTTAGGTTTTCATAACACATTCATAAAGTTCATTTGAACTTAACTCGGAAAAAAAAACCTTTCCTCTCAATGCAATTTTACTGAACTAAAGGTATAGTAATACACTAATAAATGTATATTAATTTAAAAAAACAAACAAACAAACTTTTTCAGCGTAACATTTATGTATTCGTTATTCACAAGAAAGATAATAAATAATTATATTCATTTTAACCAAAGATACTTACTTAATTGTGAGTATATCTCACTAAATAACGAAACGAGAAATAGAAGGGAGATTAAAAATGAGCCCGGTCTGACGGCAAAAGTCCTGGAATCCCACACCATGGCAATTGTGCAGTTATCCTGCTATTCGAGGATGTTCATTTCTAATTTCGTTCCATGAAACCTGAAAACAAAAACGTTTTGTCATGAAATGTGAAATGG